AGTGAAGAATGAGAAGAATGGCCTCTGCTACCTGCATACGTCTCCAAGGCCCAGGCCTGGTGACATTAATGCCGCGGGGCATTGTGCTGGCACCTGGAAAAAGACGCAAGAGCCTTGGACTGTTTAGATGGAGTGGGAACCCTGAGAATCCCGTTTGTCTCCAGGCTCTGCTCATGCTCCCCCCTTCCTCCGCCCTGTCTAGGTACCCTTCCTCCATCTGGGGGATCTGGATTTGTGTTCCTCGTAATATTTCTCTGAAGACTTCTTGACTCCTCCCCCCCACACCCAGACTTCCGTAGCCTGAGGGCACTCTTCCAGAACCCTCTTATGGAGCTCAGACCCGTCGTAGCTCATTCAAAGACCTGCTGATGCCGCAGGTCCACTAGTCCCTAAAAAATGTGTAGCACCCGGCATGTACTAGGTATTGGATAAATGTGAGCGGGGGGATGAGCAGATGGGTGAGCAGGAAGACGAATAGAGAGGAGACTCAGCACAGTGACCCAAAGCAGGCAATGTTCTAAAGGAGAGAAGGCAGGCTCACTCTCTGCCCGTAGGAAAGGGAAGATCTGGGAGGAGGCCACAGCTACCCTGAGGTCCCTGAGCCAATGGCGGCGGTGCATGAAAGCTTACGAAAGCTTTACCCAGGGAAACCAGCAGCTCATAGTTCATCTGCATCACATCTCTGTAGAGCTCCTTCTGCTGCTTGCCCAGCAGACCCCACTCCTCCTGAGTGAAGTATACCGCCACATCCTCAAACGTTGCAGGGAGCTCTCCCAACTCCCCGGAACCCTTCAGCTGCTCATTGTCAGGAGGCTCCTGCAACACAGAGCAGCGCTGTTCAGCCCACTGTTGGAGTGAGACACAGGCATGTCTGACGACATCCTTTTCCTGGGAATGCCACCAAGCGGCCCGGGAATGAGTCCCCTGCTGAAAGTCATCAAATCCATGAGTCAGCCCCAACTAGTACATAAACCATACTGGCTCGGTCAGATCCATGTATCCTCAGGAAAGAGAAAAACTCACAGAATAGCACCTCTGGCTGTACGCTGTCACCTGGAGACCCATGGTCACTGTATACCCACTGTGGCCGTAGAGAAGACTGTCTGCCTCCAGGGTCTACCAATAGGATGTGAAGGAAGCGTAGTTAAAAAGAAGTAAAGGTGAGTTCGAGGCCGGGCTGGACCGATAGCTTCCGAAACAATACAGAGAAACCCTGTCTCGTAAAAACCAAAAAAAAAAAAAAAAAAAAAAAAAAAGAAAGAAAGAAGTAAAGGTGCTTCTAATTAGGGAGGACTTTACACACACCACACTGTTAGGATCCTGAGGCTGGAAGGTTAGACCTGCTATTACCTCCCTACACTAAAATATAGCTGGTCGGTGGTGGTGCATGACTTTAGTCCCAGCAATTGGGAGGCAGAGGCAGGAGGATCTCTGTGAATTCAAGGTCAGCCTGATCTACAGAGTAAGTTCCAGGACAGGCTCCAAAGCTACACAGAGAAACCCTGTCATGAAAAATAATAATAATAAAAATGAGACCATGAAGAGAAGCTTTGCTCTTTCTCTGGAGTCTGGAAAAATTCGACCACCCAGTTGAAGGCTCCCTATGATGTTATCTGTGAGGAACATTTAAACTACCCACTGACCCCTGACCACCAATGTTTTACTGTTAAATCCTACTTACTCGTGATAGTAGAGAGCTGGAGAAAAGTCACTTAAAGATCCCAGTGAACAGTTTCCTTAGCTACCAACTCTCCAGGAAATTAGGTATTCATGAAATAAACACAAGTTGAATATTATCATCCAGCACCACTGTACCAAATGGAAGGAAAGTGCCAGGCTGGTGGCCAGGGCTCTGGGCAAAGGCCGGCACTGGCTACAACAGCTTGTGGATTATGGAATCCATACGGCAATTCTCCGAGTCTCAGTTTTTCTCACGATATGGTGAATTTAGCAACCCTTGCTTTACCACCTCAGAGTAACCTTAGACACAGCTCATCACACAGTACCTGTGAAAACTCTGTGATGTTAAAACGTTAAAGAGACTAAATGTCGCAACACAGGCTATGCTCAGCTTGTGATGGTGGACTGTTTCTTGAGTTCTGTGGCTGTTCTGAATGCTGGATAAAGATCAACATTTCTTCTATGAAAAGTCAAGATGTCCTGTACCATGAGTTAGGCTTTGCTGTCTATGAAACAGCAAAGCCTAATCCAGCAGTTGTCCCAGTTAAATGAGTTAATACCCGTAAAGCATTTAAAGCAATACCTAGTGCATTAAAATAATGTGAGCTGGGGATTGGAGAGTGATTAAGAGCACTTGCTGCTCTTCCAGAGGACCTGGATTCAATTCCCAGCACCCACATGGCAACTCTCAACATTTACGACTCGAGTTCCAGAGGATCTGACGCCCTCTTCTGGCTTCCAGAGGTACTGCACACATGTGATGTACAAATACATGTGCAGACACTCATACACATAAAAATAAATATCAAAAAATAGAAAAGCATGAGTGCTCTTGTGACCCTATGATGTTGGTGCTGAATTATCACTACTGTTATGTTACTTTCAATACGGAGTCCTCTCTAAGGCACACCGACCAATAAACACATTACCTGGCTGCAGAAGTCAACAGTGTCCTTACGCATGTTGCTATTTGAGGGACCGAGGATGTCACTGCCAATGTCTTTTTGCCTCAAATCTGACATGCAGTCCAGATACAATGCAGGGATGGCTCCCCTTCCTGGAGGGTCCTCTAGTTTGGCTCTTGGGCTTGACAGGAACTCACCTATGCCATCAAAGTCTCCCAGGAGCCCTGGAGGGTAAAATGTGGGATGGTCTGCAGTGAAGAGGTGTTCAGGGCTGGCCAGGGTATCTGCAGAACTCTCCCTGAGACCCTGAAGGTGGGCTGCCCAGATGGGGTCCTTGGCAGCTAGGGCATCGACACTTAACATGTGGGCCTTGCTCTTAGCGTGGCATTTGAGAGTTTCCACCTTGAATGGTCCTGTGTAGCCTTCTATTAACCTCGACCGCCTGCCCCCAACACATGGGTACTCTCGGCAGACAGCACAAAACAGAGCTGTCCGTTCCTCATTCACGATCAACCACGGGAACTGTGTGAACCACGACTTCTGGATAGAGCGGGGCCTTGGGAGGTCCTTGTTTCCTCCCGTCCAGGCTCCCTCGGCAGCGCTGTTCCCTGTGCTGAAGTGGGCAAGGCAGGCTTTCTTTTGAGGTAGGCACTGTCCTTTCTCTCTGGGGAAACCCTGCATGTCTGTTTCTTCCATGTAGTTCACATGGGTTTTTCCTTTCAAGGAAAGAGAAAAGTAAAATGTGAAACACTACGGTCTGAGAGTCATCAAGTACACAAAAGGTAGAAGGGAACACTCAGTCCAAAGTGACGCACCTTCCCCTCTACTCATTCTTAAGAATATGGTAATCGAGTTCCCGGCTTTCACTGCCTGACCCCTCATACCCGTCTTGCTTCACCCAGAAGGAGATCAAACAGGAAAAAAAAAAGAATTATACATTATACTATCAAATGGACACTGCTGCACTTTGATCAAGGCCGCCTCAGTGGCCCTTTCCCGTTTGGAGCTTAGGACAAACCACTGAGGGCATGGCAACACAGGGTTTAAAGACATCAAAGAACCAGACTGCAGCTCACACCCTGTAGGAACTTCTCTCTGGGTTGAGCCAGGCAGAGAGGCCCCTGCATTCTGCTTAAGTGCCTAAGGCAAGACAGCCTATCTCCTGAGCATAGTTGCAGTACCCAGATAGACAGCACCTGGCAAACTGCAGCCCACCTCTGAGTACAGCAGTCCCGTGCCATCTGCAGATCTGCAGAGGCTGTGCTCCAGGCCCCTGGCAGATGCCTGGGCGGTGGAGGGCCCCAGATTATGTACTGTATCTTTTTCTATCTATACTTAAAAGCAAAAACATTTCTTTTATAAATCAGGCATAGTAAGCAAATAGCAATTACAGACTAGAACATAGTAATATTGTAATTAAAGTTACAGAAATGTGGTCTCTCTTTAAAATACCTTACTGCGTTACATTAACTGTGGCTGACAGTTGGTTATCTGAAACCATGGGTAGACATCGTGGATAAACTGGGTACACACTGCAGACAGATGGGACTACTGCAGTTCTATCTGGCGAAACAGGTGAGGTGCTCAGGGTTCAGTACACCTACATAATAGTTACAGTATTACCTCTCTGTTACACCATAACCTTCCAGAGTTCAAAACTCTCATGGCCTCATGAAGATGATTCTTCTTTAAACTGAACAAGAAGTTTCTTTCTTTACGGAAGTGAAACAGATGAACTGTAATCCCCTGGAACCACTCCTCCGTCATCAACCTAAGTTTCAGGAGCCAGTGGCCAAGGGCTCCCTTTTCGTCCAGTCTAAAGAACTGAGCACGATGCTACTGACAGTCAGCAGCCCCAAACGAAGAGTCACGCAAGGGGAGACACTGTGTTTCTTGGCGATCACGGCGGTCCAGAGACGCCTGTGTGGTCTGTCCCAGGAAACCACTGGAGCAAGCAAAGTCTGTGGCTCTGACTCACATAGGAGACTGAGCCTGGCTCCCTGTGTTCTCACAGGAGGAAGTGGGTTCACTCTGTCATCTCCTAAAAAACGGAGATGCCATCCTCAGGACATAGCAAACTGATGTTCATTCACTGTTTCACCTCACTTGGTGACAATTCTATAACTACGGTGTGCCAGGCACTGCTATGGACACCGAAAACACAGTGGGAAGTAAGACAATCATACCTCCTTGGAGTTTTCATATAAACAAACATTTGCTATAGGGCAGAAATCAAAGGAGGGGGGTGAGAAGGCAGAGTATAAGGGCGGGGCAGGACAAGGTGACATCTATGGAAGGGGCAGCGTTCCTCTTGCACACGATAGGGAACCGGCAGATACAGGGTGAGGTTGGTTCCTAGTGTCCCCACTCTGCTCCTTGTCAGAAGGTACCACCTTCAGGCACAGACCACACTCACCAGGATGATGGTTCGGGAGACTCCGCTGGTCCTAGATGATGCCTAGCCATGGCTCAGTCCCTTGCCCAAACTCATGGGACAGCTCAGGATTGGCAGCAGTCGGTCCTGAGTTGGGAACACAGAAAGGCCATGAGGGACAAGCTCCAGGTCCTAACACCAAGGGGGAACTCTGCCTGGGACTTCCTCCATGTTGTGAGACTGTGGGTATCACAGGAAAGTGAGAATCAGGTGGTCTGGCTTAGTGGTTTAGAAACTATCTGCTATATGCGAGAACCCCCCCCAAAGAGAATAGGGGAGCAGGCAAAACCAAGAAGGGCCACAGGTCAAACTAAAATGACATTAAATTAAATTGTTAGTTCTGGCCTCCATGGGTACCTGGCACACACATGGTACACAGACATACATGCAGGCAAAACACTCATACCCATAACAATACAGGAAAACAGAAGGCAGCCATGTCACACATGGATCCAGCACTGGCCCACAGTCCCACTTGCCATGATATCCCAGAGAGCTACACTTGTACATGAAAATTCCCTGTGGCTCGATCTTGGCAACTTAAACTCTCTGTAGACACTCCAAACCAAAATAGTGAAGCCAGGACAGCAAAGCAAAGTGGAATAGAACTCCCACTGTGAGTCAAAGCTGGCCTGCTTTGCAACTTGAAGCTTCGGAGACTTGGTGGTTTTCAACTTTATTAAGCAGACACAGCAACAGGACCCAGCCCAGTCACAATTCCACCACCCACAGGACACTGAGGTCACAGCTCCCATTTCTTCATCTGGTAAACACAAGTTGATTAGCCTCATCCAAAAGGCTCAGGGCCATGGGGACTACGGCTGTAGCCCGGTTAACACGGTACTCATCTGGAAAGCCCAAGGCTCGAAGTTCAGTCCCCATACTTGGGGAGGCACAGACAGGAAGATCAGAAATTCAAGGTCATTGTGGCCTTTTAGGGAATTTGAGGCCAGCCTGAGCTACATGAGACTATCAGATTTTGGAATCTTTCAGATTTTTACGTATTTATACTTTACTAGTAGAGTATCCCTAATCTAAAATACTCCAAAAATTGGGGGCTGGAGAGATGGCTCAGAGGTTAAGAGCACCAACTGCTCTTCCAGAGGTCCTGAGTTCAATTCCCAGCAACCACATGGTGGCTCATAACCATCCGTAATGAGATCTGGTGCCCTCTTCTGGCGTGCAGGCATACATGGAGGCAAGGTGTTGCATTCATAATAAATAAATAAATCTTTAAAAATAAAATAAAATACTCCAAAAATCTATGAGCACAGGTGACTCTCTGAAAGTTTCGGGGTTTGCAGTATTTCAGATAGCAGACTTTTGGATTATGGATACTCAATCTAGAAACATAACATATGTGTGCACAAACATTTTGAACACAATCACTTCTGTCCTTGGTACAGAAGGTAAGACAAAAGCAGAGAAGAGTGTATTTAAAAACTAAAACAGAAGAGATGAAAAACACCTAAATTTGTACAAAGTTTTTCAGTTCATTTTCTCTCGTTGTATTTCCTTAAGAAGAAATCCAAGGCCCACGAGGGCGAAAGCACCTGAGCATCAGTGTGTGGAGCTGGAGAGAGAAGATGTTTGTGAAACCAACGCTCTGGCCACCACCATGGACTCCCTCCAGGGTCCTGGGGGCCCCACAGGTCACACTCTGCACTGTAGAAACAGCCCAAAGCATCAGACCGCCTGACATTCTCTATTTGTCCTGGCCAACTTAAAAAGAGGAGAAAAAGGACAGGGGTTGAGCAAATGGGTGAAGACACCCAGAAAAACCGAAGAATCTCAGAAAATTCTCCAGTTCGCCCTGACCCAGGAGAGGCTGGGGACACTGACATAGAATGGCCACGGTAGACCTGGAATCCATACCTAGAGGTGCTGTCAGCTTGTCGGAAGCAGAAAAGTCCCGGAGCTGGTTCGGCAGCAGCCATTCCTCCTGCAGCAAGTACAGTGTGATGTCATCAAAGGTCACGGGAACCTGAAAGGAAAAAAAAAAAGCTCCCTGCTAAGTATCAGTTCCTGAGACACATCTTCCACACTGGCAGGGTGTGAGTCAATGTGGGAAGCACTGATGATGTACATACACAACCTGCAACCAATCTCTACTGCTACAGGAGTGCAACTCACGATGGAACAAAATTAGAAAGTTGCAGCCACTGAACCCAGTCAGAACCTTCTTTATGAGGCTGATCCGAGAAGTGTATATTTCTACATTGTGTGCATCTCTCTCTCTCTCTCTCTCTCTCTCTCTCTCTCTCTCTCTCTCTCTCTCTTTCTCTCGTGTGTGTGTGTGTGTGTGTGTGTGTGTGTGTGTGTGTGTGTATGTATGTGTGTCTGAATATATAAAGATCGGTGTCAGGTGTCTGGCTCAATTGCTTCTCATCATTTAAAAAATTATAATATTTGTGTGTATGAGTGTTTTGCCTGCATGTATGTATGTATGTATGTATGTATGTATGTATGTATGTGTACTACACTCATGCCCGGTGCCTGAAAAGGTCCAAAGAGGATGTCAGATCCCCTGTAACTGGAATTACAGATGGTTGTGACCCACCATATAGGTGCCAGGAACCAAACTTGAATACTCTTCAAGAACATCAAGTATCCTTAACAGCAGAGCCATCTGTCTAGGTCCCAGAAAAAAAATGTTTTAAGAGTATTCCCATCATTGCAACAGAATTACTATTATTTGGTATATGACCTCCCAATTTTTATCTATGAATATATAAAAACATTTTTTAAAGCAGTAGTAGAGACCAGACAAACAGCTTAGCAGATAAAGGCACTGCAGCCAAGCCTAATGACCTGAGTTAAGTCTAGGACCCACATGACAGAAGGAGAATACTGACTCCTGCAAGTGCCGACCCCTGATTTATACACACACACACACACACACACACACACACACACACCATAATAAAGAAAAAATAGTAGTGAAATGATATTGCAAAACATTCACTTATAACAAGCATCTGTGCTTACGGTCTTCCAAATACTGCTGCAAAGTGGACTCCACCAAAAAGGAAGCAGCCAGACAGGAAGGAGGCACGTGCAAAGACAGCCTACAGGGACTAGTGTGGAAAAGTAGGGGAGAGAATCTGATCCCAGGATGAGTGCTGCACATCAGGACCAGAGGGCAGACTGTTCCTATGGATACAGGTAAAACAAACAAACAAACAAAAACCTATGACCGACAGAACATGGTGGAACACACCTGCCCAGCAGTTGGAGGCTGCTGAAGAGTAATCAAGAGCTGAAGGTCAGCCTGGCATATATAGCGAGACCCTACCTTCTAAAGACAAACCAAGCAAGCAAATGAAAAGCTCAAACTCTTATGACCAAGGACACAAGGCTTCCTATTCACGCTGCTTCCCCCAGGTTGAGAAGACACCACAATGAAGGCCGATGGTCCCATCGCCTTAGTGGCACAACAAGGCAGAAACTGAATACAGAATGAAGAAGTGTCTCTTTTTTTCACCCAGAGTGATGCACAAAATACCTAGTACCCCTCTTTTAAGCTACACTGTGGCAAACACCTTCTGCTTCTGGGTGACCTTAGCATAAAACCTCAAATGTGCTTGGATAAGAGACATTTCTTACCCATGTAGGATGCGGAGAGTATCCGAATAGTCTGTTTTAGCCCGTTCCTCTATTCAGCGCCAAAGCCCTCTCAACGCCAAGTTCAACCCTCCAATCACTCAACCTACCTTTCATCCTTCCTCTACACCCCCAAACCTAGATCCCCTAACTGCCCCTTTTTCCCCCACTACTTATAGTCTGTCCACCCACCAGGGTCTTATCTGCATCCCATCTCTTGTGTGGTTCCTACCCCAACCTATGCCTCATTTCTCTCGTAGGGCGGGGCACTCGGGGCACCCTGTGCTTGACTGTTTGTTTTATAAGGCCCTTCACAGACATCACCCCTCTCATACAAAGAGAATCCCATAGTCTGTTGCTTCATTTTTCCATTCAATGTACATTCAAGTGTCCTTATATGCTTTGCCAATCCGCGACCTGTTGTACTCAAAGTGCAACAACAGAACTGAATTGGAACAAAAATGAGACAGGATAATCCCTTCCATAAGAAAAGACAGAGATTTCTAGGAAGCAACAGGCACATCCTACAAAATACCTATATTCCTCTCTCTTGTTAAAGGTTAAGGAAGACCTTACTGCCTTGAATCACTAATTCTAGTGTTGACGTCATTTTTTTTAAACTCCCTGCCCCATTTCCTCACCGGAATTCAAGCTCAACCTAAACCACTCTGAAGATATTACCCAAGAGAAAGGGCCATTCCTCTTAGTGTGTGTGCCTGTGTGTTTCCCACTGTTTCTAGGCTAGCCAAACAGCTTCCATTCATTACAGATCCAGCTGAGCTGCCTTCACCCAGATATTCTATAGACTGCTAGCTCTGGAAAAAAAAAACTCTGTAGCTAGCGGACTGGGGGAAAGGGAGGGTGGAAGAGATGCTTAAACAAGGAACAATTGCTTTTCTAAGGTAGACAAATGATGGCACCAAAGTACCCTCCTCATCCTTCCTCTCTCCTGGGCCAGCCTTCCCAGGCTCACCCAAGTTACTCAGGTGGAAACTCCGGGACAGTTCCCCCTTCCTGTGTATCCTTGCACTTCCAACATCTTACTCAATGCAAACCTCAGAGTAAAAACGTTTATTAAACGAACACAAAGGAGATGGAGAGGGGCAGAGGGGAGAGAGAGGGAAAGTCTTGTAAGTCCTTGTGAAAACGTTTGTTGGGAAAATTCCTTCCTTCCTGCCTCCCCACTCCATCCCCCCTCCAAATCCTCAAGAAGGGCTGCAAAAGCAGGGAATGTAGCTCAGTGGGTAGAGTCCTTGTCTACTGGGTCCAAGAACTGGATGCAAGGAACATCGTAAAAGATTTTACTCCTACGAGGCTGCCTGTCTCTCGGCCAGTGTGCCCACAAACCACCAGCTCTGTCAACGCTGCTCCGCTCCTGACCGCTTCCTGCCCTACCTCATCTCCCATCTCCAAAGCCTCTTCTTGCCCAAAGCCTTGAAGTAAGATTACGGAGTGTGTTTCTAAGCCTTGCCCACATTCTTCATGAAGAAGACAAACTAGAAGTAGAAATACGTGGAAAAAAGTGCCAGAAGCCTTTTCCCTCTTTCTTGGGAAGGAGGAGCTAAGTTGCCCACCCTTTGACCCCCCCACTGGCGTCCTACCCAGCCTCTATGTTTTCATAAGCAAGACCTCCTCCAAAAGCCGAAAGCGAGGAAAGGAAACCACACTCTGGCATCACTATGCTTGGCTAGCAGAGGAACCCAAAGTGGAGTCGGGGGTTGGAGGATGCTAGGGCCAGGAGGAATAAGTGTCTCCCAGCCAAGGAAGATGAGGCAGGAGAGAGGGGCGGGCGAGCACTTTTCTGCTAGCCCAGACCGGGATGCACGACAGGAGAGATGCCCCGCGCCCTTTCAATCCTACCTTCCCCGTCTCCCCGGGCTCCATGGCCAAGTTCTGGCGGCCGTGCAGATTGCCTCCCTCCAGGCCTGTTCCGAGGCTGCCGCGACTTGGGATTCCGGACCCGAGTTGCCCGTGTAGGGTTGACAGGCGGCGGCAGCAAACTCCACTCTTCCACAGCGGGAGGAGGCAGCGCTAGCGCCGGCGCTGGCAAAAGTAGTGATGAGCTGGGACTGGTGTGGTACTAGTGCAGCGCTTTATGGCTACCGCCTCGCGGAGGCGAAAGAGGCTCATGGGAGATGTAGTCCAGCCTGGAAAGTCTACAGCTTGGACCAGCTTCTCTTGCTGTGGGCAACTCCCGCTAAGGTATTGGTCAGTAGGCCAACAAGATTAATTAAGGTCAACACTTTTTCCATGCATTTCTATTTTATGTTTCTTAAAAAACAAAACAAAAAACACCACGTCACCTGGTAGCCCAAGATGGTCTCAAACTCCTGATTCTCCTGCCTTAGTCTCTTGGTTGCAGGTTGGGACATCATGCTTGGATTTAGTGTGTGTGTGTGTGTGTGTGTGTGTGTGTGTGTGTGTGTGTGTGTGTGTGTGTGTATCTTACACACCAAATTTGTGTAAGTGCCACCCTTTATTATTCTACACATCCCATACTTTGGATTTTGAGACAGGGTCCTTCACTGAACCTGGAACTGGCTTTTCAGCGACTGGCCAGCCAATTCCCAGGATCCTACTATCTCTACACCCCGAGTGCTGGGGTTATAGGTGATCACTGCCCAACCCATCTTCTATGTGGGTGCTGGGGATATAAAAGTATGTCCACACAAAAACTTGTGCAAAAATGTTTATAATCATTTTAAACATAATAGAAAAAGCAGCAGCATCTTTGTCAACTGGTAGACAGATAGGCAAGCCATAAGGAATGTCCACCATTGGCAGGTGGTTAGGCATTTTGTAGATGATCCATGCAATAGCTATTATTTAGGAGTAAAAAGGAATGAACTACTGTTAAATGCTATAATGTCAGAGAACTTCATAATCAATGGATTAACCGAAAGAAGCCAGGCATTTATATGAAATGTCCAGAAAGGGTAGTTCTTTTTTTTAATATTTTAATTTTAAATTGCTTGTTTTACATGTCAATCCCAGTTCCCTCTCCCTCCCCTCCTCCCGCACCCCCCCCATCCCTCCCAGCCTCCCATCCTATTGCCTATTCCTTCCACATAGGGGATATCTAGAGTCTGTCATTTCTCTCAGGGTAAGGTCCAGGCACTCCCCTAAGAGTCCAGGCTGAGAGAGCATCCCTCTTTGTGCTATGGGCACACGATGACTTTTTGTATTCCAAGGATAAACACTGATCCACTGCCCAGGCCTCCTCACTGACGCTCAAATTCGGGGGTCCAGATCAGTTTCATGCTGACCTCCCCTCTGTCGGGCTGGGGTCCAAGGGCTCTCCCCTGCTCAGATCAGCTGTCTCAGCTGGTTTTGCCAGCCCATTCTTTGCCAATTTGCTCATTGCTCCTCTCTCTCTGTCACTGGGTTCCTTGGGTTCATTTCAGTGCTTAATTGTGGGTGTTTGCCTCTGTTTCCATCAGTCACTGGATGAAGGCTCCCAGATGGTTATAAACATCAAGTTCATTATCAGGAATGGACATTCCGGGTGGTCTCTCCACTATTGCTTGGCTTGCCAATTGGTGTCATCCCTTTAGATCACTAGAGGTCACTCTGGCGCCTGATCTGTCTTCTAACCTGTGATTCCCTCTTCCCCTATTCTACCATCCCACTCAACCTTCCTGTTCCCCCATGACCTACTCTCTCTTCCTCTTACCCCCCTCTCTTCTTCCCAGCTCCCACTCCCCCAAACCCCTCACCGTGTTCCCCATCTGTTCAGAGGACCTTGCCTCATTCCTCTTCTCTTGGGTACTATGCATATCTTTTAGGTTCTTTCCTGTTTCCCAGACTCTCTATCAGTGGAAGTGCAGACTGCAGAAAGGGTAGTTCTATTGAGATGAAAAGCAGTTTAGTGCTTCCTGGGGGCTAGAAGCAGGAAAACAATGGGAATGTTCTAAAACTGGGTGGAGGTGATAAAGTTTATGAAACTTTATTTTTCTAATCAAGTCATTAAAGTTTAAAGTTAAAATGAAGGAATTTCTGACTGGATGTGCCACCTCATACCCATAATCCAAGTACTCAGGAGGTAGAGGAGGTGGATTTTTGTTGAGTTTAACGCCAGCCTGGTCTATAGTGAGTTCCAGTCCAGCCAGCACTCCCACAGTGAGACCGTGTCTTGAAAATCACACGGCACTGGAGAGACGGCTCAGCAGTTAAGAGCACTGGCTGCTCTTCCAGAGGACCTGAGATCCGTTCCCAGCAACCACACGGTGACTCACAACTGTCTATAGTGGAATCTGATGCCCTCACCAGGAATAAAGGCATACATTGCAGACAGAGCACTCACACACATAAAATAAATAAATAATATCTGTTATTTTTAATTACACACAGGGGGAGAGGGAAGAGAAAGAGATTCTTACCACATAAATTACAGTTCAATAAAACTGTCATTAAGAGGGCAGCCCGAATATTCCAGAATTCTCTGTGTCGGTGATGGAATCACTCTGGGTGGAAGGATACGACCTGGGACACTCGTGCCTAACACAAGAGCTCTTCAGACTTCAGATTCAACCCTGTCCTACAGCCAGGGCGGTGATGGGGAGTGACTTACTCAAGCCCTCGTGAGTGCCGCGACGATGCATGGTAGACCCCCCCAGAGCTGCTGCTCATGTCTAGAGCTGAGCTCTCCCTCCAATCCTCTGCTGAGACCAGGAACAGAGACCACACACTAGTTTGTCAGCATTAGTTGCCTGAATTACTTTATTTGGAATGTGCTAACGCCACAGGTCAGAGGCAGGTACGTGGGCACTGAAGGAAGTTGGGAGAGCCACAGAGTCCCATGGCTGCAAGAGGGACAGCAGTGGAGGATGCATCCAGCAGAGCCTGTCAGTGCTTGGAGAAATCACCACCTGCAGACAGAGTTTCGAGACGGGCTAGTGAAAGACAGAACGGTCAGGAGGGACAAAAAAAAAAAAAATGGGGCAGGGCAGAGGACAGGAGCTGGAGCTGAAGGAAGGGCGGGGTGAAGTCAGCTCTTCCACGCCCTCCACCCAGGTTGTGATGACCTTCCTCTGTGTCTCCCCCAAACTTGGCATATGACGTGACCTCAGTTGGTACACGTCAGGTACGCAACTTAACCGGGTACTCCTCATGCAAGCCCCTCCAGAGTCCTCCCAGAAAACTCATGGAGATGTCAGACCCCGTTTAAGGGATGGGGTTTGTAAGTACAGCCCTCAGCAGAAGACCGAGATTTGGAACCAGGTCCAATTTACCGCAAGCGCCCAAGTTTATGTGCGATTGGGAAGGAAATAAGTAGAATGCAGGGGTGGGGATGAAAGTAGACTGATAAAAACCGAGGAAGAATGGGACCGTGTGCTGTGCATGTTCCTAAGGCTCCTCCTTAAGGAGAATTCTGACCTTGCCCCAGGGTGGTCCCATGGAGCCCCTCTCCCTCCCCGGTCAGACCCACCCACCCTGGCAGACACTGCACTGGCAGCTGTGGATCATTGGCAACACCACTGGCTCCGTGTGGCCGTCAGGGCAATGCAGGTTCAGGATCCGCACAGGGCTGTCTGGATCCAGCCTGTAGCTACAGCAGTCACACTGGCTCTGCAGGTAGGGTTCCTGGGAGAGAGGAGCTGGTTGAGCGGTCAGGGAGCCAAATGGAGCTGCCCTCTCTTCCCCTGGCCTTTCCCTTCCGGGGAAGAAGGGCCAAATTCCAGTTGTCCTGGACTCCCAAGGTAGCCTTGGTGTGGGGAGCATCACTGCCAAGCCCCCTTCCTCAAGAAGCCCGCTTTCTTCACTCCATCCCCAGAACATCTGAACATCCAACGAGTGAATGCATCGGTGTAAGGCTTCCACCATAAGGGGCTTCAAGCCTAGATGGAAATAGGCCAGTCATACACGAGTCTGCTTACAAACCCTAAGTGCACAGTTGGGGTCCTAAGCTCTGTGGGCCTGCCCTTCCAGAACAGACCCTCCTGCCCCCACAGAACAGTGACTTAATTTTACCTATAACCTTTGAATAGATTATAACTCTTTCAGACATTCATACAGTATCAAGTTCAAGAATGGCAAACGTTATTATCTCTGAGCCCTGTTCCTGTTTTCTTTCTTTGCGGTGTTTTATAAGTTCCAGATGTGTTTGGGGAAAGCATGCCCAGGAAGGACAGGAGCACTCAGGACAGCAAGGTCACAGCACAGAACTGAGAGGCAGTATTTTGGGAACCAGGGAGAAAGCACCATTGTCTTCCAGCACTAGTAAACCCAGTTGGGTGGAAGCAACCGGGAATGGCCTCAAGAACAGATGTGAGGCGCTGGGGGCCAGCAGCCAGGCCTCCATTCAAAGGGAACGCCAGAGGTCTGAGTTACAACTCTCCAGGTTGGAAGCTAAGGGAGTCATAGGGTGAAGCAGGGTCCAAGGAGAGCAAACAGAGAGAGCTTGATCCTGGGCTTGCTCGGGAGTAGACCTTACAGGCAAAAGTCCAGGAGCAGGGGATAGTCCAGGAGGTCGTATCTGTAACAAACCAACTCTGGGGACCCTCCCGATGTGAGTCTGACGGGTCTGATCTCAGCTACTTTCCCTCCCCGAGCCTCTCTTTGTGGGCATCTTGGCTTACTGGCTTAGAGGAATACAGTGGCCTGAGAGGCACACTCTGGGCATGTATGTATACCACCACCTTGGAGAAGGGCCCAGTTCTGTCAGTTCTGTGAGGATGGATTGTGTTCCTCCTGTTCTCTGGGTTTTTTTCCACAGGTCCTCAGCTAGTCAAGCCCTCAGGGCGCTGGCTGCCCTGCCCGGTAGATCTGTGAGGCTCACCTCAGTCATGACCTTGGTGCTGGACCTGCAGTATCCACTGCAGTAGCTAACCTCTACCTGGTCCAGGTGGCAGGGACCCTTGGTGAGGTTTCTGAGCTCTGTGAGGTACCGGCAGGAGGCTGGCTCCTCCTCTGGGTGTGGAAGGGGGGAGCACCAAGACAAAGGAAGAAACCAGTGACTGGGGGGACTTAGGCAAGGGACACATGAGGGCAGAGCCTGGGATGAGGGAACCGCTCTGATCCCCGTGCAGGCGAGCCTGGGGAAGATGGGAACATAGTAGGTTGCATGTGTGATCATGAGGCAGACCAGAGCACCCATACCCTGCATACCCAGAGTGTCCTGTTGACAAATGGGACAACAGCTCCCTGGTTCCTGTACCATCACTTCGCCCTACAGAGAGCCATCCATGATTCACTTAGGGGGACACCCCATCGCCCCACACTGCCTTTCCAGAAACCCTAAGACCAACCATGAAGGGAAGGCACTAGGGGGATGCCAGGAAGGCTCCAGGGCCACAGGGTACCTGAGCACAGGTGAGGCTTGGGCAGTGTCGAGTGCAGATGCTCTTCCCATGGAGACAGTGGCAGCTCTCACAGGCCTCCTGCCATTCAGATCCAGGCTGCAAAGAGGGGGTAAGCTCTGGCTGGTCTCTCCTGGATTTTCCTCTCTCTCTCTGTCTCTCTCTGTCTCTGTCTCTCTGTCTCTGTCTCTCTCTCTGTCTGTCTCTCTGTCTCTCTCTCTGTGTCTCTCTCTGTCTCTGTCTCTCTGTCTCTCTCTGTCTGTCTGTCTCTCTCTGTCTGTCTGTCTCTCTGTCTCTGTCTCTCTCTGTCTCTCTCTCTCTGAGAGCCTGTGTGCTACTAGGGGTCTGGTAGCAAGGAACCAAAACAAGTAGATCTACAGAGCAGTAGGTAGGGAATCCTTGGACAAGAAAAGCAGCTGGTGTCTCACCAAGTGGAGACTCCCATGGTGCCAACATTCACAGTGGTCTTCGGGGACACAGATCCCTGCCTGGCTGCGGAAGTGCCCCAACTGGCACACACAGCCTGGAGACTGTGCCTCAGTGCAGTTGCTCCAAGCCAGTGTCACGTTCATTTCTGGGCATGTCTTTTCGCAAGGCCCCAGCTCCCCTGGGGCCACATGCTGCCACATTTCCCCAGGCGGGCACCCTGCAGGAAGACCACGCACCTGCTGTCTCTGTCAGCTCTGGATGCAGCCTAGATCGACCACCCTACTAGACACTCCTCGGTACTTTAACCTGTCCCCTTCCTATGCTGCCTCCTGGCTCCAGCAGCCGTCCATCAGCTATGCCTCTCCCTCTGATCCATTCCTCAAACACTGGACCAGGCAAATCTTATAACCAATCTTGCCTATCTTACCTCCGCGTTTCCAGTATCCTGCCACATCCTAAGGGTGTTACCTATTTGCCAGAAACTTGGACATCTCCTGGTTTTATTTTTTTTTCAGAGGGCTGGCTTGCCTTCATTCAGCAGCCTGACTGGGTGCTTTGGGACTTTGCCAAGCCTGTGTCTGAATCCACAGATCCCAGTGTGTCAAAGGTGGACAACTGAGGGGGCCTGGGGTTTCCCAAGCCACACTCCTCCTTTCCACTCATCCCCCTCTGGACCTCAACTTCTTCATCAGCAGGAAGCACCCTCTCGATTCCTGGCCTCACTCCTATAGCCTGGCTCAGGGCATACATGTGGTACCGGAAATACCGCCATGAGTGGAAAAGTGTTTGGGGGTTGCAGAGTGGGGAGTGCTGGGCCTCAGGGCAGAGAAGAGGTCCATGTGGACAAGAAGCAGGCATTTTCTGAAGCAAGGAGCTTAGCCTGGGTTGTAGACAGGGCCCTCTTTCCCTGAGCAGAGTCTTGGCTTTGGGGAGGCGAGGACAGCTGTGTCTCACCCTGACAGTTGATGCCGGAGCAGATGAAGGCTCCACCTTGACAGGTGCTAAGAAGACAGAAGTCGGCTCAGAGGCCTCCCGGGCCCTCCTCCCCACCCCAGTCTCAACAACCCTGCCCTCCACCCAGGCTCTGAACCCTCACCAGCGTGTGCAGTTCCAGGTAAGCACAGTCCCTGGGGGCAGCTCCCGGGCCTGTTCTTCCACGGGTAGGGTGAGGCCCCAGGGCAGGGAAAGCTGGGAGCAGGGGCAGGCAGCAGGGGGAATGCATGTGCCATTGTGTAGCAGCTGAGGTGGATAGGCTCGGTTACAGTTGGATCCAACCCCCATGCTTTCCCAACTGCCTCTCCCCCCGCCCCCCCCCCAGCCGCCGCCCCCGCCAAAGCCAGATGCCAGTGAGTGGCCTGACTCACCTGTCCCCCAGGGCAACTACAGCCAAGCTGGCAGGGTTCCTGCACACAGATGGTGCCAGGCTGCAAGTGGGCACAGAGGCTCGGGCACAAAGTGGGGCAGGTACTGAGCACCTGCCCAGGTGGGCACTCTGGGAAATACACACATTGAGAGGGGCACTTGCAGGTTACAGACAGCCTCTTCTACCCACCCCATGGGCCAGCAAAGATGGGGGCGGCGGCTGTGTCACTCACTCCAGGCCCAGGACACTCACCAGGGCAGGCCTGCAGATTACACTCTTGCCATTGCTGCATGTCCAGGGTCTGGCATGGTGCGCCCTCAGGATGCTCCTCACAGCTCCTGTGGCGCACCATGGTGCCCCCACCACAGGCAGCTGAGCACTGGCCCCAGGCTGACCAAGGTCCTACGACTGGACACTCGGGGTAGGGACACACCAGGGACCCATTGGTGCATGTGCTGCGGGCAGGGAACATGCCAAGGGCTCAGGACTCAAGTCGTGACAAACAGCTTTCGCTCCCCAGCAGTGTCCGTAGCCCTGACCTGCCCCAGGTCACCCACCCAGAGTCCCTGGCTTGGTTTGGAAGAATGGCAGCATACCAGTTATGGCAGTCCAGCTGAACCACCTGCGTGGGGGCTAGCTCCCATGAGCCATTGGCACTGGGCAGGCCACAGCGGCAAGAGGACACGGGCACACAGTGCCCGTCCTGCACCAGCTGGCCAGGGGGGCATCGGCAGCCTGCGGGGGGGGAAGCAGAGTCAGTGCTTTAAAGGGACTTTAAAGCAGAAGTAGGATCTACCGTTAGGGAGGAGGAAGAGGGCTGGGGAAAGCAGGGAGGATGAAGGAAGGGAGCAGAGAGAATATGGTGAAAATATAATATACATGTGTATGAAAAAGCAACCCGTTATACAATTAATACTTGCTAATAAAAGGGTTATAAAATTCAGTGCGTGGGACAAGGTTTAACATAATGGGTCCCTCCAACAGGCAGACTGGGTTCAAATCCTGGTCTCACCCTCTGGCCATGCAAGGGAGACACCTCTGTGCTCCTCTACAGAGCAGTTTGTTCCGATAGGGTCATGTTACATAACCTGGGCTGTTCTTGAACTCGCAACGTATCCCGGGCTAGCCTGGAAGCAATCCGCATGCCTTAGGCTCTTAAACGCTGGAATTTACGGACGTATGCCACCATGGCTGGCAACTCAGCAGGTTTTGACAGAGCGACCAGGAGAGACTCGGAGGGGTTGCCGAAAGTGTCCCCAACAATGTACTTTCTTGACCTGTCATGATCCGATAGTTCGGAATTCCCTCTACTCTGTCCCTGCTCCTGTAGTGAAGAGGGTTCCCCAGGCCAGGCTGTGGTGTGGCCAGTTACCTGGACTGCAGGGTCCCTGCAGACACTGAACGCCATCCCAGAGGTCAACACAACTGCGAGGGCATTGGTTGGCACAGTCAAGGGTAAACACCGTGTCCCGGGTCTCGCAGCTCTCCCCTGGGGTTCAGAAGTAAATGTCTGTATGGGGGAGCACTCATGCCCATCCCAACCCCAAGCAGACCCTCTCTTCCACTATTAATCACCAATTCCCCTCAGGGGCTGTTGGGCCCCAGCCCCATGGGGTCTCTGTGAGTTGCTGGTCAGCCTACAAGTGCAACTTGTTTTCCAGTCCAAGTGCTTTCTGTTTTCTAGTCCTGGCTTACTGCCCTGGCCTTGACCCTCTGACATCAACATCCAGCAGGAGGAAAACAACAATCTCCTCTACCTGGGGTTTTTTCCACTGTGCTGTAAACTTGTATAAAAAGCTCCTCCCTCCTATAAGGGGGAGACCTCTTAGCACTTGTAATGAAGATACACACACACACTCTCCTGGCAATAAAGACAGCACATACATTCTCTTAGTACAAACAGCTGGACGTCTGGTCTCTCTTTTCCTGATACCTCGGACCTTGCTTGTGAAAGCCAGGCACCGCAAGGGGCCATTTCCAATGTTTCAGTCTCTGCCTCCTTGGGATGCTGGGATACCGATTACCTGGGCAAGATCCCATATTGCAGCTTTCTGTTTGAGCCCACGGTCCACGGCATTCTCCAGCAGAGGTATCTCTTGCCTCTCTCCAGCGCAGCTTGAATCCTCCACTGCAGGGCACTTGGCAGGGACTCCAAGGCCCCCAAGGGCCCCATTGGCACGTGTCTGGGGAGAGGAAAAAAAATAACTCAACGCCTAAGACATTAGCCTCAGGCATCTAACTCAGACCTTGTCTCCTCCCTGCCTAGAAACATGCCCCGAGGCCCTTTGGGTTCCTTGCCCCCACCCCCTAACTGCCACTGGGACTCTACCACAGGCCCCAGGGGCAAGCAGAAGGCTTAGAAGGTTGCTTCATTCCTGACCACAGAAATGAACCTATGGCCACTCCACCCCACCCGGACCCCCGTCTGGACAGCCCCCGGCTGCCAGCATGCCAGATCCATTCTGCCTGCTAGCTGACATCTCTCCTCTACCATTGCAGGCTCCAGGGTCAGGGCAGAGGCGTTGCTGGCTGAGGGGCACAGTGCACAGTGCAGGGTCTCCTGCCCAGGGCCTCCCCGTCTCGGGGTCCAAGCAGAGGCGGTGCCGGTATTGTTCTGAAGCCGTCAGCAGAGTGACTGAGGTTTGAGGCAGGCCTGATGCGTTCAGAGGCCAGTGCCCCTCCAATGCAGTCTTGGAGGCAGGGGCCAGGGCACTTAGGGGCAGGCAGGGCCCACAAGGTGACCACTCTGACCACCCAGTCAGAGGCAGAAGACCTATGAAGGCAAAGGGTTTGTGATGGCCTCAGGGACTTTGCAGCCCAGAGAGCCCAATGGATACGAAGGAAGAGCTCAGGGTCATGAGCAAAAGGGGTAGTAAACAGGACTAAAAAAAAAGGTGTCAGAGCCAGATGGTGGTAGTGGTGCACGCCTTTAATCTCAGCACTCGGGAGGTAGAGGCAGGCGGAACTCTGTGAGTTCGAAGCCAGCCTGGTCTACAGAGCGAGTTCCAAGACAGGCTCCAAAGTTACAGAGGAACCCTGTCTCAAGAAAGCAAGCAAAAAAGGTGTTGGGCAGAGCAGGGTACTATTTGTCTAGGTCTGTCCTGGCCTTTAGCAATGCTAGTTCCATTCCCCAAAGCACTCCAGTCTGGGCTAACAGGGACAGGTCTCCCAAGGCCGTGGTTACCTTCACACCCTTGGCTGGAACACTGTAGCTCTCCACTCTGGCATTCACTGTGGGAGGAATGCATCAGGGTGGGCTTGAGGGAATAGGAATCTGCTGAGCCACGTACGGCTCAGCAGCCCAAGAGCTGGGTGCTCTGGGGGCAGGATGCACAAGCTGTAAAGTTGAGCATCCTGGGGGTGTCACGCGATTTCGGGTTGCAATGATCCAAACAGGCTCATCCCGGCCTCTGCTTGTTCATCCCACTTCTGACTTCCACCCTGCCTCCCCATCCCTGTCTTCTCCTATTACTCACCATTCCTTACAGCCTAGCTGCAGGTGGTCCCCAGGGGCCAGGGTCACCCTAGTTCCCTCTCCTGAGGTATGCCAGCAGTTACACTGCTCTGGGCGGATGCAGCCCCCAGCCTGCTCCAGCAGGCCCTGTGGAGAAGGAAAAGTGAGGATAGTTTGGGACTGTGAAGGGACCACTGTCACCTGTGTGCCCTGCACCGTGTGCGCCGCCGAGCCCGTGTGTGGGGTGGTGACAAAGTAGAGAGAGGCTCCCAACGTGGAAGTGACCTGGTCCCCATGGGCGTCCTGGAGAGGGGAGCCAGGGGAGTGGGGCGGAGCGTTCCCTCCCTGAGCGTCTCCCCGACTTCCGGAGCTCACCTTGGGACAGTAGCAGCCGGGCTGGCATGGTGGCAAGTCCTGGCAGAGCTGATGGCTCAGATGGGTGGCACAGAGTCCCGCACAGGGGGAGCCACAAGACTGGAACTCAAAGGGAGGTGGGCAGCTGTCCTCTGGCGGAGGAACAGCCCACAGACACCATCTCAGTCACAAAGCAAAGCACATGCTACACAGCCCCAGGGACACCTTTAAAAGGCCACCTGGAGATGGTACAAGGCTGTCCTGCTGCTGCCTGCCTGCCAAGAAAGACTGACGCCCCCAACCCTTCTACCTGGCTCCTGCTCAGCTCATGCTCCCCAGGAAGGGTTAGGATGGCTGGGCCTCAAGATCCAAGAAGCTGCACGGAGTCAGGATTAAGCTGGGTGTCTTAGAGACTGGCAGGTGGGGCACAAATGGACAAGATGAGGGACGGAGGTACCTTGTCCCTGAGGCAGCCACTAGAGGCTAAAAATGGTGGGACCAGCAGCTGTCCAATGGGAAATCACAGTGAGCCAGTATAAGGGTGTAGCCAGTGGGTAGGACAGAGCAAGGCAACTGTGTGCCCAGGGCAAGGGTCAGTGCAAACCCTGGGTAGCAGTGAGTCTACATGAGGGTACCCGACACTGTCCCCATTCAGATCCTTGACCGCTCATTCCCGGGCCTTACCCGAGCAGTTGCCAATGGTGCATGGCCGGAAGTGGCCGTCCAGACGTGTGCAAGGGGCGCTCCCCACAGCCCGGCCAGGTGCTGGCCCCTGGTGTCGGTAACGCTGCTGCACCAGGACCTTACAGGAGCAGCGTGTCCAGCTGCTCCAGTCACTCCATATGCAGTCCTCTAGAGATGGGCAGGGGTGTAGGTTGGCGGCTCCCAGGGCTTCCCCTGTGCCCATACCCATCCCTGCCCTAGCTGGAAAAAGGGCAAGAGGGAGCCATGGGTCCTGAAAGGCCCCACTGGGTGGATTCCCTCAGAGTAGGTAAAGGGAACGCAAAGCAAGATGTTGTGGGGTAGAGGCAGGGGCGTTTCAGAGAGTCTTGCACAGGCAGACACTTACTCCCTGAATTTTCCAAGGACGGAAAGCAAGGGGGGGGTGGGGAGGAGGGAGAACTCACCCTGGCAGGGCCCCAGGTAGCAGGCCTGAGTGTCCAGGCGTGAGAACGTGTCATTACACGTGGAGTCCTCTTCGGTGGGTAAGCAGGGGCAGGATCCAGCGCGGGAGGCCAGGCCTGTGCCGCAGCTGCGGGAACAGGGTCCCCACGGTCCCCAGGAGCAGGTGTGTAGCACCTTCGGGCACTGCTGCTGCCCACAGCGCTGGGTCTGAGTATCTGGTCCCTGGCAGGGTAGGCTCCCGTGCTGAGGAGCTGACACCACGCAGGATCGAGTACGAACCTGGCTTCCACCTCCACAGGAGACAGAGCAGCGGGACCAGGAGGACCACAAGGTCCAGCCCCCAGGCTCTGTAGGAGAGCACAGGTGAGGTCAGAGTAGCAAGCAGCAGGGTGGTAAAGACCCAGAGGTTAGGTTGGGATCCTTGTGGCACAGAGGGGTTAGCATTGTGAGTGGGACGGGGGCGGGGGGGCAGGGGGACACAGGACGTAGAAGAGATGCCTATAAGACATTAGGCCAGCAAGGGGCTACTCAGGTAAGGAACAACATGGAGTCCAAACCTGCACACTCATTGTCTCTGCAGATCACTCCCTCTGGGGTGCAGGAACTGAAAAAGAGCCTGGCTTCAGAGTCCTGCTCTCCAGCAGAACAGTGGGTACCCTTCCCGAGCCTACGCTTACCACTGCTGGCACTCTCCCTGCAGCCAGTGGTCCCCCAGGGCACGAGGGTGGGCTTCATGTAGGCACAGGGGTGGGCAGGGGGCCTCGGGGCAAGACCGGCTCTGTGACTGCTCCTTCTGGCACTCGGGGGCCCATGAGCCTGACGTGGAGGACCTGGGTAGGGCCAGGGGCAGAGGGGAGGACAGACAGTTCATGTCTTATATAGTAACCCTTCTGGGAGTCCAGAGTAAGCACAAAGGCAGCTAAGGAAAGGCCTAGGTGACCAGCGCCAACTGGGCGAGAACACAGGATGGAGCAAAGTCCCTGATGAGCGCAGGAAGTACCCAGGAACGCTGTCAGAGGGAAGGACATGCCACACAGGAGGCCCTGGCCACCCAGCCCCATACCTAAAGCGACTCTGCTGCCCTAGAGGTCCACATGAGTGGCTGCAGGGACTCCAGGCAGACCAGTGGCTCCATGCGCAGTGGGCAGGAGGCGGGCAGGCCTGAGCAGTGCAGGAGAGCTGCCCAGCCCGACAGGAGCAGTTGTTGCAGGCATCCTGGTGCTGGCTCCCCGGGGCCCAGCTGCGGCCCTGGGCGTCTGTGCATTCACAGTGCCCAACTGGCACACAGCCACCGTCCTGCTCCAGAAACCCTGTGGGAAGTCAGCAGGTTGGTGCCGGCTTCCAAACCACACCTGCCTTCCCGCTGAGCTTCCCGAGGAGCCAGGAGGACCTCTACCGTGTACCTTGAGAGCAGCGACAGCCCGGCTGGCAGGCCTGGTCCTCCTGACACACGGCTCCCTCCTGCAGGTCTGAGCAGCTGTGGGGGCAGCGGTTGGCACAGCTCACTATCTCCATGCCTGCTGGGCAGCCTTCCTCTGGCAGGGGAGGGAGGAAGCCCAGAGTCAAGAACACCTGACTGCCCCAAGACCCTTCTCTCTTTCCTATCAGTGACTCCTAGAGGCTCCAGGGTCTACGCTTGCGCCCATATTGGTATGAACTAAAACATTAGCAGAGCCCTGGGGTTAGGTTAGTCTAAGTGCACAGAGAGCTCCTCTCTCCTCCGGTAAGTTTTCAGAACCTAACGGGCAATCCAGTAAGTGTTCGAGAAGCTAGACCGATTTAATCTGTCCGTCTCAGAAGCTAACATTCTCACCTAGTGGCTTACAGCCCTGGTCTGAGCCAGTGTGCAGTGTGCAGTGTAAATGGGGATCTCATGACAGACGAGTCTGGAGTAGCCAAGACCCTTGGGGCTGGGAGCATTGGAAGGAAGGGCTGAAGCTAAGAAAGGAAGGGTTCAATTATAGACTCTGGTTCAGTTTACATCTGGGAGGATGGAGTACACCCTTGGCATCATACCGCAAGCTCTCAGAAACTTTGCCTGGGCTAGATGGTTCTCCAGAGGTCAAGAGGACAGACAAGGCTGGGAGGATGTCCCAGAGATGAACCAGGTAGGTGGCAAATCTTTGATTGTGGCCTCAAAGGCCACAAAGGACCCAGATATACACATAGGATGTCCCTGCCCAGTATCCAGATCCAGCCATCCCTTCTCTGAACATCCTGGTTTTCCTAAGTAGTCAGCAAAGTAGCAGCCGGTCTCCTACATGCCACGGGTATGGTGGGAATGGAGTTAGAGGTTGGGGTGGAGAGAGCTTTGCAGAAAATAAGCTCAGTAAGCAGGAAGTGACTGTCACTACCGCCGTACCACATGGCATGGGATTGCAGGACCGGACATGGTGCCTCTCCCCGACACAGGATGCTCCCCCATTCTTGGGTGGTGGGCTTGAGCAGCTTCTGCTTCTTAGGGATCGGCCCCCTCCACAGCTGCGATCACACCAGGACCAGGGGCTCCAACGGGACCAGCCCCCAGGCACTGTTGAGAGAGTAGTTCCAGCAGGGTCTGGCTCCTGCAGAGTGTCCCACATATCCCATTAGCCGGGAGAGACCGTGGCAAGATCAGGAGAGCAAGGCACCAGAGCTTCTCAGGGTTAGGGTCTGGGAGGGGCCTGGAGCTACTCTCTGCTCCCAGCTCCCCTCACCTGGACAGGCACGCAGGTTGCAGAAGCGGCGCTCCTGGTACGCAGTCAGGATGTCAGAGCACCAGTGTCCACCAGGCCCAGGAGGGTTGTATGCTCGCAGGCGACGCTGCTGGCCCACCCCACAGCTGCGAGAGCAAGGCTCCCAGGGGGCCCACGGTGTCCAGGAACAGTTCCCTGGCCCACACCCAGGACCAGGGCACAGGGCTAGAGCTGCAGAGTTAGAGTGAACAAGATCTGAAACCAGCATAACCTACCCCAGGCTCTCTCCTTCCTGCCCCAGGCTCTCCTTCCTGCCCCAGGCTCTTCTTCCTGCCCCAGGCTCTCCTTCCTGCCCCAGGCTCTCTCCTTCCTGCCCCAAGCTCTCTCTTTCCTGCCCCCAGGCTCTCTCTTTCCTGCCCCAGGCTCTCTTTCCTGCCCCCAGGCTCTCTTTCCTGCCCCCAGGCTCTCTTTCCTGCCCCCAGGCTCTCTTTGCTGCCCCAGGCTCTCTCCTTCCTGCTCCCAGGCTCTTTCCTTCCTGCCCCAAGCTCTCTCCTTCCTGCCCCCAGGCTCTTTCCTTCCTGCCCCAAACTCTCTCTTTCCTGCCCCAAGCTCTCTCTTTCCTGCCCCAGGCTCTCTTTCCTGCCCCCAGGCTCTCTTTGCTGCCCCAGGCTCTCTCCTTCCTGCCCCCAGGCTCTTTCCTTCCTGCCCCAAGCTCTCTCCTTCCTGCTCCCAGGCTCTTTCCTTCCTGCCCCAAGCTCTCTCCTTCCTGCCCCAGGCTCTCTCCTTCCTGCTCCCAGGCTCTTTCCTTCCTGCTCCCAAGCTCTCTCTTTCCTGCCCCAAGCTCTCTCTTTCCTGCCCCAGGCTCTCTTTCCTGCCCCCAGGCTCTCTTTGCTGCCCCAGGCTCTCTCCTTCCTGCCCCCAGGCTCTTTCCTTCCTGCCCCAAGCTCGCTCTTTCCTGCCCCAGGCTCTCCTTCTTGTCCCAGGCTCTCCTCTCTGACCCAGGCTCTCCTTCCTGCCCCAGACTTCCCCATCCAGCACAGGGGACAGCAATCCCTGACTCATGGGACTGCCGAGGGATTGGGGAACAAGCCAACCAAGAGTGTTTTGCCCGCACACATGCCTGAGGACTGAGAGGTCTGATAGAACTTGGTTGGGCTCAGGGCAGCCACGGGGGCTGATAAAGCAAACAGAGGCCTAGAGTCAGACACTGATCTGAGATCAGATCAGATCAGATCATTAGATCGTTCTAGGGAAATTGGATATTGATGTCCTGGTGTGGGTTTGGGTTTGGATGAGTTGGTTGAAGGCTGTGATTAGGGCCCTAAGGTTGAGCCTCAGAATCATACCTGTACACGAGGGTAGGTTGCAAGGATGCTCCTGTAAGGAGTCCCCCACTGTACAGTTGCCCAAGCAGAGGCGTGTGCGGCTGCGCCATGCTGGATGAGCAGGGTCTGTGCAGCTGTGGGAACAGGGGGACCATGGCGACCATGGGCCCCAGCCTCCTGTGGGAAAAGGGGTAGAAGAAAGAGGGCCTTAACATGCCAATTCGTCATCCAGGGCTCCAGCCCATTCAGGAAGCAGGGATGGGGAGGGAAGAGGCCCAAGGCTTGCTCTTCCCAGGGAAAGGCTATCCTGGAGAGGTTCTAGGAGACTTGGGCTACCTGCAAGGCCTGTCACCGGCTCCACCGTGGACCTTGCAGCCCCTGTGTGAAAGGAGACCCTGTTCAGAAGTGTTTTGGTGCCTGCAATGTACTCTACCGAGCACCACGCACAGTGTTGAGCCTCTGGCACGATCTCCCGGCGGGCTGGTTGCAGACCCATCGGGTGAGAGGAAGGAAAATCCAGAGACACCAGCAGGGATAAACGGGTACATCCGAGAACAAAGGCAGACTGAGCCACACTTGGCCAGGCAGTTTCTGCCTAGCTTCTATTTCCCTTACCAGGGCATTCCGGGCTGGAACAGTACTCTACGTCCTGAAGGGGCCCGCGGCAACTCAGTCCACCAGGAACGAGTGTGGGATGCAAACACTGGCGAGTTCGGGTGCGGGTACCCAGCCCACCACAGGGCTGGGAGCACGGGCTCCATATGCTCCAGGGACCGAAGCTGCCATGAACCCTGGAGCATTCCTCCATAGAGCAAGACAGCTTCCCATGAACACAGGAGCTAGAGGAAACACAGGCATGGCGGGGGGGGGGGCAAAGTGGCCAAGGAAGCCCAGCCAGGCAAAGGAAGAGATACAGCCCGGGTTCCCTGTCCTTACTCTAGAAGCCCCCTTTACCCACCCACCCCCGCTCTAGCCCAGTCCCCACCTTGGAGGTTCCCTTACCAGTTTCCACAGACCGTTTGAAGCGTCTGGCCTGAGTGTAGCTCATATCCAGGTCCAAGGGGCTGGCCCCCATCTTTCAGAAGGGTTGGGTAGGTCCTGGGAGCCGCGCTGGCCAACCCCAGCTCCTGCAGCAGCAAGGCTGTCAGCACACAGGGGCATTCCTGGGTGGGTGGACAGGAGGAGACAGTGAAATCTCCCAGGAAGCTTCCTACCGGATACCTCCGATATGCAGAACCTCTCCCTGATGAGACTTGGGGGAAGACAGGGAGGACCTGGGGCCTCAGGAGGTGTTTCCTGGTTCACACAGGACTGAGAGTCTGTGGGCTGTGAACCTGGACTGAGAGTCAGCCACATTTCTGTACAGAACAGCTAGAAGGACACAACCAGGCATTGTCAGAGAGACTCCAAGAGGACAGGACTTGGTGAGGCACAGAGAGTTTTGCCGGGAATCAGAGGAGTCGGGATGCTTCAGTGTGAGTCCTCCCGACCCCCAAAGACCAGTGTCATCATCGCATCTTAGTCGAGAGATCGGGGCTAGGAAACATTTCAGGTTCTGGCTGGTGGAGGCCATGGGATTAGAAATGGAATCCCAAATACCTGCCTGCCATTTGTCCCACAGCTGGAGACAGGGATACGGGGCCAGGTAGAGTTGGGGCGTGGGGCCCTTTCCCCACAAAGGCAAGGCAGGGAAGAGAGACATAATGGAGATCTATGGCCCCTGAGAGAGAGGATGGGGCTGCTGGGCCATGTGCCAAGGGTGGCTGTGGGGACCCAACAGGAAACTGCCCTTCGCTGCTAGGAAGACTGAGTGCCGTACAGCCAGAGGAGCACAGACCAGCACGTGATCACAGTGGCCTCTGAAGTCTTGCAGGTGCCCCTGAGCTGGGAGATCAGCTGGTAAGGAATACAAGCCCAGGTGCTATCCCTAGGGAGCAGGTGGCCCCTGGAAAACTAGGGACACCCTGGGAAGCTGCCTCAGCTCCATTTTCCTATCTGGGCTCCCAATTTGCCACCCTGGAAATCATCAACAATGACCTCCCAGGTTTGAGTGCTTCTTAGGGTCCCATGACAAAGGGGGGCTGTCTAAGAGACCCAGACTCCTTGCGGGAAGTGAGCTGTCAGATACCAGGGACCAAGGGGCATAGCCTCGGGCTCCTGCCCGGCTGAGTCCTCACCTGTACGCAGGTCAGGCGATGATGAAACGTGCCCTCGGGACAGTGGCACCCCTCCTCACAGCTGTCAGAGAAGCAGGCCGCCTGTCCCGTGATGTGGGCGCAAGAGAAGGGGCACCCCTCGCTGGGATGGCATGCACGGTACAGTCGGCCCACCGGGCAGCCCGCATCTGAGACGCAACACCGGAGTCAGTGCCCCGTCTGACCCACTGTCCCCACTGTCCAGACCCCTTGGCAGCGTCCCTTCCCCAAAGGTTCCCCGTAATCTGGCTGTTTCCTCCTTTTCTTGTTCATCACCAGCAAGAGAAGAGTATGACATGACGGGAGGGGGGGACGGGGCGGGGAGGGGGAGAGAAAGGGAGGCGTCTGCATGCCCTCAGAGTCAGGGTCAAGGGGGACCTGGATGGGACTCTAGACTGAGGGATTGATTATTGGGTTGAGGCTGGCTGGGCTCACCTCTGCAGACCTGGACGTGACAAGTTCTACTCTGTCGAGCTAGCCCAGGGCAGGGTGGTCGGGCACAGCTCCTAGAGCGCAGCTGCTCCCCTCCCCCACAGGAGACACTGCATTTCTCCCAGGGACCCCAAGAGCTCCACACCCCAGGACGGGGGCAGCTGGGCACCTCACGACACTGCAGGATGCCTGCTACGCAGGTGCTGGGGACAAAGGAAAGAGGTTTCAGTTTCACGACCTGATCCATGCTCCCTGGGGGGGCGGGTACCATGGCCCAGCTCCACAGCTCACCTCCCCGCAATCCGCTTACCAGTTGTCACAGGGCCCCGTTACCACCTCTCCAGGTTCCAGGCTCTCCCAGGAGCTGAGTGCGGACCCCACGGACCGGCTCTGGTTCTCAGGGATCCCTGAGGGCCACGGGATAAGGATGGAGGCCAGACAGCACAACAGCCTTCACCTCTCCTCACCCTCTATGCTCCTGCATTTAGCATCCCACCCAACAGCACCCAGGTCCTGGAGGAAGGAGATGGAAGCTGCAGGGTGTGGGAAACGCAGTTCCCAACCCGTAGCTGAACCTGGGCCCTGAGAGGCGAGATGCAGAGCCAGAAGGAGCAGTACCGCAGCTCTCAGTAGGCAGCTGGAGGAAACGGGAATGGTCAAGGGGTGAGTACAAGGGAGGTACTACCGACCCATGTCTCTAGGTTGGAAGTGGCAGTGACAGTCGGCTGGGGGCACACAAAGCCCGTCTTGGGAGAGCTGCCCTGGAGGACATCCGCAGCTGGACTGGCAGCCCGCTGAGCCTGGTAGGCATATACTGCCAAGGGACAGGTCCTGGCAGGAGCGAGGACAGGGCTGTCCACAGGGTAGGAGATCCTGGCCCCCTCCACAGTCTAGGAAGAAAGCGGGAGAGCGTTAGTGTCAAGGAACTACCCCAAGGGGTAGGAGCCTCTCGAGAATGCCCACATTCGTTGTGACCTGACACCTCACCCAGAACCACGGGCCAGCGGCTTGAGGCTGCCCTTTGAACAACAGTTCTGCGTGGGAACGTGGCGGTCGGCGCCAGCGTTTTCTCTAGACCCACAGAGGATTCCCCCTTGCCTCACCCCCCCCCCCAAAGCCTTCACCTGTGCACAGGGCGGAACTGTCCCGACAAGGGCGACTCTGCTGGTGGCCCCCGGGACAAGGCCTGCCTCCGTCAGAGGTGGGGGGATGATCACACACCCGGCTCCGTAGGGACTGTCCCAGGCATGCGTCACAGGGAGACCACGGCCCCCAGGGACTCCAAGCTCCATCCACTGCACCAAGGAGACATGACCATCTGTCTCGGGAGACCCAGGAGGCCTTGGGTCACCTGGGTCAGAGCATATATTTGGGGCTTCTGGGACAGGGGGCGCAGGTCTCATGGGAGCATCACACCTGGGCATGTAGTGGGGCTAGGGCAGGCTTCTCTTTGACGCTGCATCCCTGTCTCCCCTGCCTCCTCGGGGCACGGGGCACCCCCATGCTGCGGAGCAGGGCAGACGCAGGCCCTGAAGCGGGTCCTTGTTTGGCCTCCGCAGGGCTGGGAGCACGCTGTCCACTCTGACCATGGGCACCAGCCTCCAGGCACTGTGAAAGCGTAAGGGTGGGCGGGCAGTGGATGTAAGCAGATGAAATCCGGAGACCACTCTCTTCATGCCTCTACCCCTCCCCCAAGCCTGCATACTAGCACGTACCTTGGCAGGGCAGGTCTGTGCAGTTGAGCCTCCCCTCCACGCAGGTGCTGGGCAAGAGCAGAGCCAGGGGAAATTAAATTATGGCAGTTCAGAATGGCTTCCTGTCCCCACAAACTCATCTGCCTGACCCTTCCTTCCTCTCCGTATTTGCAGTTTCACGGTGCAGTCTACGCCCGTCTTCCTTCTCTCACATGCTTCGGAAGCCTGCCTGTCCCATCAACTAGCCTTCTGGAATAGTCACTGGGGAGGGAGTGACTGTAGGTAACCCTGCAGGTAAGTGAGGGCCGACAGCAGGAACAAACGTTATCGGTTGCTTGTCCAGCCCAACTTCTCTCCTCCCAGGAATAAATACCCAGACACACGGAGCTGGCTGCCTCAGTTTCTCCTCCAGTCAGACAGCTGTCGTGGGGCCCACATTGCATCTCCTCCAGGACAGGGCTGTCTAGCTGTACCGGCTGTCTGGGCCCCCAGAACTTAGATGTGCACCGACACCAGGCTGCCTCCTGCCCCAACAATGCAGCATGGTCTCTCACCAGTGGTTACAGCCATCGGGCCTTGTTAGCTGAGTGCCTGGGTGGTGGCGCTTCCCAGTCAGCAGGTCCAAGCAGCCGCAGTGACTGGGCTGCACGCAGATGGTCCCGTCAGCACTCAGTACCTTGCCCGCGGGACAGTAGCAGCCTGGCAGGCAGTGCCACACACAGTGCTGGGAAGGCACAGAACAAGCAGGGGTTTAGTCATCAGGACCCAGGGCCGGAGGTAGGGAGCTAGGAGGAGTCACAAGAACAAGCCGGAGGGGCAGTGTATGGGTCCGTGGTGGTTAATCTGGATCGCCAACTTGATGGGACTTCGAGAAACGAAAGGACATGTCCCGAATGTGAGTGGCAGCTGGGGGTTACTGGGCTGGGTACCAGAGAGGAGCAGCTCATCACTCTGCTTCCTGACGGATGCGGATGTGATATGACTCTTGCCGCCTCGGGCTCTTGCCTCTGTGACTTCCCTGAAGCAGTGGGCTGCCCCTTCTAACCATGAGCCCGGAAAAAAGTCCTTTCTTTCTCAAGAATGCTTTTGTCAAGTATTTTTGTCCCTGCAGTGATAAGGAGCACCATGAAAATGAAGGGTGCCCAGAAAGGGAATAAAGTATGACCTTACAATTACTTTAAGAACTGATGAAGGGTAGGAAGGGAACCAGCATGCCACTGTGAGTTCCCTGCCACTGAGAAGGGAAGGGGTGGGGGGAGGGGAGAGCAGGCCTACAGATTAACCCCTCAACTCCCGAGGAATGTATCTGGAAGGTGGGGCCCTGCAAATATGGCCTTAGGGGTCGCAGGCTCGGTGTGGGGGCTTGCACGGATGGTCTGGGAACTGAGGCATGCCCAGACCTCCCTAGCACTCAGGGAAAGCAGCCACCTCAGATAAAGCTGTCTGGGAAGAGAGGTTGTGTGGTAAACAGCTGGGGACAGGCCCTGTCTGTGACGACCTGCAGTGGCTGGGCCATCCTAGGTGAATCCTCTTCCTTCTTCCTCCTCCCTACTCCCTAGCCTGCCTGGAGTCATTCCTGGCCTCCTTCCATTTATGGCTGTCCGTACTCAGGCCTCAAAGCATCATCTTCATCCTCAGAGATCTTACCGTGTCGACCTCTGATTCACGTGTGCCTTCCTCCCCACAGAATGTGGGATCATGGACTCAGAGACCCTGTCTGTGCATGCCTCCATCTGTGTCTGCGTAGGCATTGGAAAACATGCACACACACACACACACACACACACACACACACACACACACACACACACGCACACGCACACGCACGCGCACGCGCACGCACACACACGCACACGCGCACACACGCACGCACGCACACACACACACACACGCACACACACGCAAGCTCTGTACACCAAAATGTTTATGGCACTTAAGATGACACAGTGGGCTGGCTTCCCCCTCCCATGCGTTTGTGCTGCGTTTGCAACAGCGTTTTAATTTAGAAACACTGGCTGTACTGATGCCAAGGGCTGCTGGATACGGCTGCCTCCCTCACCAAGAGGGAGCAGGCCCGCACTATTGCAAACTTAAAATCCAGGGCCCCAGTCCTCCCCGCCAGGCTTTCTACCCAGCACCGGGCAAGAGGCCATGGGCCCAAAGCCACACCCATGCTTCCCACAAGAGGCTTCTCTGGTCAGAGCCAAAGGTCAGGTAGGGGTATCAAGGGGGCCCAGACTCACCACAAGGTCATCACAGGATCGGGGACAGGGAGGGCCACAGGGGCTATACTCTGCCCCTTCGATGGTGCTGCAGTTGGTCACTGGAGGTCAGGATGGGGTGGGGTATGTCAGAGCTGCTGACCTGCCTCCTAAGGCTGCTTCCCAGCTTCTTACTCTTTGTTCCTGGGCCCACCCCCCTCCTCAGCAGATACCTGGGCATGGTTGAGCCTGGCAGGCCTCTCCCTGGGCCTGAGGTCCTTCGCAGAAATCCCCGAGGCCCTGGGGTGGAGGCTGGTCACAGGCTCGGGTCCGGCTCCTCAGACCTCCTCCACAGCTCCGACTACAGCCAGACCAGAGTCCCCAAGGACTCCAGCTCCCTGCTTCTGAGGGAAAAGCAGAGGAAGGCATGTGAAAGGGTTTGAGGGTTCTGGAGATTACTGGTGTAAGGATGAGGTACCCCAGAGACGGCCCCACTCAGGGCTTCAGGGCAAGCATTGGCCTAAAGGGCCACTTACGGTCACACGCTGGCAGGAGGCATGGCTCTTCCTCCGCCTCAGAGCCTGGGCAGAGGGTTGTGGGGGCCGCTGTGGGCAGGAGAGCCAGGCTGAAGGGTTCCATACCGGGGGGCCTGGAACAGAATCGGTGCCGGTGGCGTCGGGCAGGGCTGCAGGAGGCTGAACACATACTCCATGGGGTCCAGGGTGACCATGCAGGCTGGCCTTGGGATGTATGGAGGAGGAGAGAGAGAGAGAATGTCTGAAAAGAATGATCCATTGTGGGGAGGCACCATAACACCTTCTGCCTCAGTTCCTCTGATGCCTGTCTCCTATCCCCAGTGTAGGCCATGGCTGCGAGGATAGGAAACAAGAACATACGAGGAGTGAGAAGCCGTTCTCACCTTCCTCACAAGGCCGGGAGCTGCAGTTGGTGATGAGCCCAGAGATACAGGAGCTGGAGGGAAAAACAGAGGCTTGGGTGCTCCCCAGGACTACACGGAACCCACAGAGCCTTTGCCCAAACTCCGGTTCCCCAGGACCTTATTTGTAGACAGGATCCTTCCAGAGGTAACCGAACTAGTAAGGTGGCTGGGGCTGGGGCAAAGCCAACCTAGTATGACTTGTGTTCTTGTAAGAAAGGGGTATTTGGATGCTGACATACTCGGGAGGAAGATGATAGAAAGAGGGAGAAGACAGCCACCTGTAAGCTAGGAAATGCCCGATTGGTGCCAAAAGGGAAAGTTGGGACAAATGCTTCCTCAGTGTCTCAGAAACACCAGATCTGCCAACACCTTGATCTAGGGCATGTGTGGCCATCAATGGCTGTTTTTCAAGGCCCCTACCTCCAGTACATGTATGTGTTTGTATGCATGTGTTTGTGTGATGTGTGCATGTGTATTTGTGAGTATAGATATAATACAGTTTGTTACAACAATCATAAAAATTAGCACAGGTTGGGAGAAAGAAGACAGATAATTTTTTTTCATTACTGGAGGTTTAATTCAGGGTCTTGCCAGACAAACCCTGTCCCGCTAAGTATGTTCCCAGCCCCTGAAAGCAAACAGACAAGGACGGGTGGCTGGGGGGGTGCAGGCAGGTTTAGACAGCAGGGTGGGTTGGTTGTGGCTGGGCTGGGGGAGGTGGGGGCATCTCTTTGGTTAACTGGAGCCAGTATCTTCTGGGACTGAGGAAAGACACTGAACAGTTGGTTCCTCAGGGACCACAGGGCCACTGCAGAACTGGGGGTAGGAGGGGCTTACCAATTCTCACAAGGATAAACCACGGCACTGCCCGGGGGGTGAAGGTGCCCCCTGTGGGTGCAGGGGCAGTCCTGGGCAGGCACGCACACATTGTTCTGGAATAGAAAACCCTTTGTCATCCTGCTCCAGTCAAAGCCAGCACTCAATCTCCTAGTCCATCTTAAGGGCCACCCTGAAGACTTCCACAGGGCTCTACCCAGGCCCCCCTCTCATTGGGAAAGAGCAGGCCCTTATCTGAGGGTCATATAGGAACATGGGACACTCTCCTTCAGGGAGAAAAAAGACCTACTTCCACTGCAAGGCATGAAACTGAATTGTTAAATGAATCAACTGTGTGAGATACATATATATATATACTTTTCATATGAATATTGTGATTCATACAGCAGTGTAACACCCTCCAGCCCCACTCACCCAACCGTTTTCATTAAGGAATGTAGCCGTGGCTCTAGCCAGAACCAGTAGGCAACCTAAGTAAATCTTACTTAATCCATTCCACTCAACTGATTACCCAGCCTAAGACTGAGCACACAGTAGCTGCCCAGCACATAGCTGGTGATAGATAGATAGGTAGATGATAGATAGATAGATAGATAGATAGATAGATAGATAGATAGACAGACAGACAGACAGATAGATAAGAGGATGTGCGTTTGAAGGAGTCAAACGTATAAAACCCTTCTGACCCACCACCGCTTCCATAAGAGAACAGCTATCGAAGGTGTCTCCAACTCAGCAGTCTTTGCCTCCAGCCCCAAACCTTTGTGACTCTGCCCTTGCCCAGGCCCCTGGCTATCTCCTTCCTGCCAAAGCAAGAGCCACGAGGCAGTCCCAACTGTGGCCAGGCAGCGGGCATACTTACTAGCAGGAACATTCCAGAGAGGCAGTAGCAGCCAGGTTGGCAAGTCCGATTGGTCTGTCTGCCGGTACTGAGATGGGCACAGGAGGCCGGGCCCTGGGCACAGTCTAGCCATTGCTGGCCCTTAGGACACACACCCGGCACTGGTCCTGTAGACACATGTGTCAAAATGGCGGCACAGTGCCTACCCATTCAGCTATCCCCCAACAGGGGAGAGCATCAGTTCTAGGTATTTCCCAGGTTGCCATGGAGGCTGTATTAAGGGACAGGGCTGCAGGGGCGGGGTGTTGCAAGTGTCCTGGCTTAGTGGCAACGAGAACTAGAGTGTCCCCAAGGCGTCCGTCCCTCACCTGCGCAGGCCTGCAGGCTGCAGGTGGAGAACTCAATGGGGCTGTGGGGGCCACTGCCTCGAGTGCGATTCCTGTAGCCACCACCACAGGGCACTGAGCACAGACTCCAGGAACTCCAGTCTGCACCAGGGCCTATGGGTAACATCCAGGTCACTAAAGAGCTCACCTTCCATACCCAGCGCACCCCTTCCCGCTGCCTAGGTATCCAAGACACCCCTTCCTTCTCTCTCCACCTACAGAATCATCTCCACCTTGGGAGACATGGTGCCTTCACAGAGGAAGTGGGTTGGCCTCTAAGGAGGACTAGTAAGGCCTCTGGGGACCATCTCTTAGTGTCATTCCTAAGGGAAGTCCCTTATATCTCTCATGGGGTCCTGAGGGATATCTTGGCTTCTCTCTGGAAGGCTCTTTCATTGGGTCTCTGGCCCTAGCCCCCCTACTCTTACCTTGGCACGGCCTCAAACTGCAGAATTCAGCATCTATGCTGGGACCTTGGCACTCGGCGCCCCCAAAGGCAGCTGGTGGTGCGGTGCCTGCTCTGAAGCGCCGTCGGATGCCAACATTACAGCTCTGGCTGCAAAGACTCCATGGAGTCCAGGGGCTCCAGCCACAGGCAACTGTGGGAGGGCGGGAACCGATGTCTGAAACCAGGTCAAGCTGTCCTGGAACCCTGACTTGCTTGGAACACCACCAACACTCTCAGGAGGCTATCTCCAAGCTCAAGGAGCCCCCCATAGTCTCTGAGCACTAGCCACCACATGGAGGGAGTACCTGGACAGAGTTCTGCGGTGCACACCATTTCGCCAGAGACACAGGTGCTGCCAAGAGAGAGTCTAGTGAGCCCCAGTCCAGTCCCAGCCCTTGCCCTTGAAGCACTGGGCACCTACTTCAAAGGACGGGGAGTGAGGCCACCAGACACACAACGTGATGTGTACGATGTGGCTTGGATGCTCACTCTCAGATCCTCCAGGTAAGGTGCTGTCCCTTTGTCACACAGTTTCATCAAGAGATACCTTTTATACCTTTCATTTCATGTGCACTTTTTTTTTTTTTTTGGTTTTTCGAGACAAAGTTTCTCTGTATTGTTTTGGAGGCTGTCCTGGAACTCGCTCTGTAGACCAGGCTGGCCTCCAACTCACAGAGATCCGCCTGGCTCTGCCTCCCGAGTGCTGGGATTAAAGGCATGGGCCGCCAACGCCCGGCTCATGCGCACTTATTAAACAACATCTGTACATGACTTTAAGTGACAGGGCTAGGTAGGGGCCACTTGGAAGGAGCTAGAATTCTACAGAAGTGGGCATATTCTGTGCCCTTCCATTTTTTTTCTCCAATACATGTTTATTGGTCAAACAATGGAGATTCTAGAAAAATAATCTAGCAGAGGAATCATGAGAAAGGGGGAGGAGCAGTAAAGAAGGGAACTGGGAGGAAACATCGGGAGATAAAAAAAGGAAGAGAAAAACGAAGAATGAAGAAATCTGAGTAAAGGGGGGGGGTCAGGGGTATGTTAGAGCGCCCTCTGCTGGCAAAACCCGGTGCCGGCTTGGAGAATTGGCTACTTAGAAGGGCAGAATCCAAGGGAAGGAGAAAATGCCTTCCAGAAGGGCTCATGAGCCCCCTAGTTGAGGAGCTATGGCAACTGATGGGACCTGGGAGGAGGAAAGTCCACTTTCTTTAAGGACATTGCCCCTGGTGTTTGGACCACTCTCCAGTGGATGGTCTCATACCATCAACAACAATGTTGGAAGGGGTTGAGGTTGACCTGGAAGAAGTTAGCGGAAGGAGTGGGGTGAATAGGATCAAAGTGCCTTCTATGCATGTGTGAATTTGCCAAGAAATGAAAAGGTGTTTTATAAAGAAGCCCCTCACCAGCCTATAGTTCCATTCTACATAGCACACCACCTCTCTGAAACCCAGTCTTCCCAGAGTCAGACGGGGTGAAAATTCACTGCAGTTGTCTCGGGAGCCATGCCTGGCACGGGTGTCAGCACATTCAGCCCTCACCCTCTGCCTACCCTGCCTCGTGAGTGAATATGTGTGTGAGTTCATTCCTACCCATCTCTGGAGCACAGCCCCTCCCTTTGACCCCCACCCCACTGTCCGCTGGCAGCCTACCAGTTGTTGCAGTCCAGACGAGCTACTGCCCCTGGTGTGTAGAGCTGCCCGTGCAGCTGGCAGGGGCACTGGCTGCGGGGCAGGCAGCTAGCATTATGTAGGAAGAGGCCAGGGGGGCAGTTGCAGCTAGGGGCGCAGGAGCCAATGCACTCCACCCCAGGGTCCTGTGCCAGGCACAGCCGAGGGCACGGTCCCCCCTCCTCATGACACTGTTCTGCCGAACGGAACACCATGTCCCCTGGGCACTGGGCTGGACGGGAAGACAGAAAAGGGCCCTGAGTCAGGAGAGGAGAGAAGGGATGCTGACGAGGAGGAAAGCTTGGGCGTAGTGATTGGCAAGGCAGTGGCCAGGAAGCCCCTCCCCTTCAGTCCTCTCCCACTCCCTCCCCTTGCTCAATAGCTCGGCTCCACTGGATATGAATGCTCTTGGAAACAGGAGGACACTAGTGTCAGGGTCAGAAGGAATGCCCCACTGATCAAGGAGTAAGGAAATAGACTCCTCTGGTCTGATGCTGCTCCCGCACCCCTGATTTTGCCTGTGAGTGGCTTGGCCTCCAATGTCACATGTCTATAACGATATTCGATGCTATATATGGAAAACAATATATTTATTTACCAGAGAGAGAGAGACAGAGAGAGACAGAGAGAGACAGAGAGAGAGAGAGAGAGAGAGAGAGAGAGAGAGAGAGAGAGAGAGAGAGAGAGAGAGAGAGAGTCGCACAGACCAGGAGTTAGAAGCGTGGCTGGCTTCCAGGAGAAAAGGGAGGTTCCTTCCTCTTTCACTTCCTTTTATATCTACCTGTGTCAGTTTACATGTCTCCGCCCTCATGGGTGGATAGCTTTGTGGGGTTCACTCCTACACATGTCCTTATCAGGGACAAGTAAAGTGCCTGGCCCAGAAAGAGGGAGGAGGAGAGGGCTTGGAGAGACGCTGGAAACACTGAAGGCTCCCTAGCTCTAGGTGTGGCCTGTTCTGAAGCCAGAGGTCAGATAAGCGAGAAGGCTGGAAAGGTCGAGGCCCAGGGTGGCCGAGGCCACCTAGAGAGTGTGGGGGGTTTTGGCACCTGTGCATGGATGCATGTTGCAGTCTCTGGTCTGAGTGTGGGGCCCTTGACACACAGGGTTCCCAGGAGCCAAGCTAGAGCAGCTGCGCCCACGACTCTGGATGCCGCCGTTACAGGAGGCTGAGCAGGTAGACCAGGAGGCCCATGAACCCCAGGCACTCGGCACTGTCAGGAAGAACAGAGGCCATGGTCATGGCGGCAAGACATAATGTCAATAGTGTGCTGTCTTTTTAGGGAGACCTTGGGTGGGTGTGGGGTGGGAGTGGCTTAAAGGGCATATACCAGGTTTGCTCTTTCCCCTCCTTCCTGGGGGTGGGACCTGGTCGAGGGGGGTCATTCTCTTTTGTTCATTTTCCCACCCACGTTCCCAGTCACACCAGGAAGGTAGGGCTATACCTGGGCACACAGGGGGGCTGCAGGGCTCCTCCTGGGTGGCCTCTCCAGGGCAGTACGTGTCCTTGGAACTGGGGCACAGCCGAGATCGCTGCCGCCAGCCAGGGTCCCCCCCAGGGACAAGGCAGCTCAGGGAGCAGGAGGACCAGGGGGTCCATGGTGTCCAACCTGGTATCTCTGGAAGGAAAGACGGGCCTATTGTATGGAGGCTGTGGCCAGGCTGGCAACGGTTGGGGCGGGAGGGGGTGGGTCAGGTCTGAAAAACCAAGAGTCCATGAAGGGCAAGGGCTGCTCCTCTGACTCACTGGTAGGATCCTATCCCGCAGCTCTGTTCCTCACTTTACCTAAGGCAGAGCCTTCCATGAAACAGGCCAAGCTCATGCCCATGCTTCTGCATGGCTCAGGCAACAACAGCTCGCAAATACATTCCCTATCCTCAGAGTCCAACTCTTCTAGGCTTTTCCATACGGGAAGCCTCAGTTCCCTGTGACCTGTGAATACCTGCCTGATATCATCATTCACTCTCCACTGACTCCAGGGGCCCACTCCTTGGCCGCCTCTCATGCTCTGACACCCCCCCCCCCCCAATCACTCATTCTGCCTCACATACTACATACTGTGACTGGCCTGCACTGCAGATGACCTCCCTTGACACCGCACAGCCTGAGGCAAAGGGACAAACAGGAGTGTGTCATCATGCCTCTAAGTCCCAGTCACCTGAAGCACACAGTCAGCCCAGAAGCCTCATTCTTCCTGCCTCTGCAGACATCTGCACCACCCAAGCCAGCCTGCCCAGGTACCCAGGATGCGTGCAGGAGAGCCTGTCACTCCCAAAGCCCGCTATCCTAAACTGGTTCCAGGACCATAACTTGGATGGGTGGCCGTGACTCCCACTTCCTCTTCCTGGCTATCCCTCACCTGCCACGGTGCCCACTGCAGTTTCTGTTGCCACTGGGGTCCGGGCAGGGAAAAGGGACAAGGGGACACCGGCCTCCTCTGGCACAGCTTCATTCACAAAGTGCCAACCAGCCAGGACAGGGGATTGGGAATTGAGGGGAGGCCGTCTCCTGCCACACGGTACCTGTCCCACACTCTGTGTAGCAGGCCTCAAGTTCCTGCCTGTCACCCTCACAAGGGGCACCTCCAAAGGCCGCAGGAGGGTTGGAGGGAGACCTGAGAAGAGGAGACTTGCCTGGGCATCTGCCTTCCCCTTTTGCCAGCCTCCCTCACCCTTCTACCGTCTGTCCACTGCCCTCCCCACACCAGGGTGACCTGCTCTGAGCCTCTCCCACATCTCTTCCTTTCCTGACCCGTCTCTGCACCTGAACCTGGCCCTCACTCCAGAGCCACAAGAGTGATCACAAGGTGTCCAGGGGGACCAGGCAGACCAGCCACAGGACTGGGAGCAGCCTCCTGGCTCACACAGCAGTGTCCCCTTCTCGCACGTGCTGTAGAGGACAGTAGGGGTAGAAGTGTTCATCGGCACCAGGACACCGTGGCCAGAATCCTCTCTCCATCCGGCGCCACCTCTCCCCACCCCCCACAATGACCCAGCACCTTCCCTCGCCCCAGGACTTGCCCCTGGACTAGCACCACCCCTCAGCCCAGCGTGTTCACCATTGACTGCAGTCGTCCAGCAGAAAGGCCAGCCCGGGCTGTCTCAGGTCTCCTCCCACCAGGCAGGGACATTCGGAGAGGGGCACGCAGCCAGAGTCCTGGAGGAAGAGCCCAAGAGGGCAGCGGCATCCTGGATGCGAGGAGAGGGAGTCACTTAGGGACGGACGGTGCTGGTCTTGGGTGGGCGACTCTTACACTTGCTCATTCTGGCTGGGCCTCACCTTCCATACAATGCCCATTGCAGCTTCTGTTAGCCTCAGGGTCCAGGCAGGAGGGCGGACATGGGGGTACTAGCCCCTTCCGACACAGCTCAGCATCCACGTGTACAAGGCCTGGCTCACAGTCTCGGGAGGGAAGAGCACAGGTACGGTGGGTACCGGAAGGCACACAGACAAACACCGGGGCTCTGCTGTCGGAGATCCCTCCAAGCCAGCTTCCCTTTACCTGTGTCACCTGGGCAAAGCTGCAAGTTGCAGGGAGCCCTCTCGTGGGAAGGCCCGGGGCATGGAGCTCCACCATTCTTGGGAGGGGGGTCCACACAGCTCCTCCGGCGACTCTGGTGGCCACCTCCACAGGAGACGCTGCAGGGCTCCCAGGGCCCCCACTCTGCCCATGCCCCAGCCACTGTAGAGGAAGAAGGGGGTCCAAGGAGACAGGCTGTGTAGAGGGGAGGAGGCCAAGCGAGGGAGCCTCTCGCTTGGGGGTCAGTGGCCTGGCAGGCCGGGGCAGCATCCTAGTGCTTCCTTTATTCTGGAAAGCTGCCCATAGGCGAGCGAACCAGGGATAAGCCACCCGGTGACTCCAGGGACAGAGTTCCAGCCCTCGGCAAGGTGACAGTGGCAGAACCCTGAAGTGGGGGCACGTTTCGTGCGTGCGTGCGTGCGTGCGTGCGTGTGTGTGTGTGTGTGTGTGTGTGTGTAAGGCTACCCTCTCAGCAGCACACAGAGCAGGCTGGGGAGCCACTGTGTTGGGGAGTCACTGAACAAAAGGTCTACAAAGCCTTCAGATACAGAGACAGGGACAAGTAAGTGGTACATCCAGCTGTCACTCAAAATACCCTCTTCTGTTGTCTTCCTCCATCCTCACATATGGAAACATGGGTGGAGGGAGGGAGGATTGACTGTTACCAGCTTACAGCATGAGAACCCTGAGTGAAGGGATTACCCTGAGATACCTAGGCAGGCAAGGAAGGGTAAGGCCAGGAGAGTGAGTATCCTGACATCTCTTTGAAGGCTGCGATTGCATGGACATCATTGTGTTAGTTTCCCAAAGCGGTTAGGGTCTCCGAGCAGAGCAGGGTATTCGGCTAGGGGCTCTGATGAGAACCAATCCAGGTCTCCCACAGCAAGTGATCAGTCTCTATTTCTTTCCGAGGTGTTAGGCTACCTGGGCAGGCTTGCACGAAGCAGGGCTGGCTACGGAGCTGGTCCGACAGACAGCTGCCTCCAGTCAGGGGAGGTCTCAGCAGTTCCCGGCGCTGGAAGGTAAGGCCCAGACCACAGCTGTGGCTGCAGTCACTCCAGACAGACCATGGTGCCAAGACGCAGTCCACTGTAGGGGACAGTACACCAGGGCTTAGAAGGAGGCTCATTCAGGACCAGGGCCCTTAGGACTGTAGCCCTGAGGCTAGCACATACCACAGTTGTCTTCATCGGAGCCATCCTGGCAGTTCAGACGAAGGTCACAGCGCTGCTCAAGGGGTACACATTCCCCACTGCCACAGCTCAGCTGACTTGGGGAGCAGAGGGTCACTGAGGCTGGCAGCCCAGGGAGGGCAGTGGTAGGTATGGTGAAAGGACCAGCAGTTGCTGCCAATTCGTAATTTGAGAAGAAAGAAGGGAGCCGCATCAGTGGTTTCTGGCCGGATGAGAAACTGAGACCCTTGAACTTCAGGCCAAGATCAGGACAGTTTGCTGAGCAGAAGCTCTGGCCTTTCCACCTCCAAGTGCCTGCTCTGTGTGCTGCTGAGAAGGTAGCCCTACACACACACACGCACACACACACACACACACACACACACACACACACACACACACACACACACACACACACCAGGCTCCCCAAAGCTCCTACATCAGGTTCCCATCCCTGGATTTGGTAATTTCCCTGTCTCACTGCTGCCAGATGTGCCGCCCCATTTCAGGGTTTTGCTATCGTTCTACACAGATCTCGTAGTTTCTCTACTTGTGAGTAACCAGAGAGAAGTCAGTGCATGAAGAATAGTCTTTCCCCTTGGTTACCCTCTTTCTGAATGGGTTCTCCCCGGGGTCCAAGTTTCTGTGATTGGTTAACACTTGCTCTTCTGATTGTGGCAGATTAAACTTTGATCCAAAATGATCTACCTTGGATGGATGGATGGATGGATGGATGGATGGATGGATGGATGGATGGGTAGATGGATGGATAGATGGATAGATGGGTAGATACTGTATGGACAGATGGATGGGTATGTGGGTACATGGATACATAGATGGACAGAGAGACGAGTGTGTGAATGGGATAGGTAAATAGATGAGTAAATAGGTAGATAGGTAGGTGGGTAGGCAAGTGGAAGGATAAATAAATGGATAGATGATAGATAGATAGATAGATAGATAGATATAGCTATAGATATATAGTGAATGGATATGCAGGTAGATGGGTATATAGATGAGCCAATAGACTATTGAATATATAAATGGAGAGAGGGATGGACAGATTGAATAAATGCTCAGATGCATGGGTATGTGAATGGAAAGATGGATGGAAAGATGGGTGTATGGATGGATGGGTAGATTTAAGAGTAGGTGTGTGGGGACTAGAATGATACCTGAGTGGTTAAGAGCACTGGTTGCTCTTCCAGAGGACCCAGGTTCGATTCCCAGCACCCACGTGGTGGTTCACAACCTTTTTTAATTCCAATTCCAAGAGATCCAATGTCCTTATCTGGTCTCTGTGAGCACACATTCATGCACACACACACACACATGAATAAAAATAATAAAAACAAACAATTTTAAAAAGGGTGGGTAGATGATAGATACATGAAGAGGTGGATGGATAAATGGATATGTGGATGGATGGATGGATGATGGATGGATGGAAGGGTGGGTGGATGGATGGATAGATGGATGGATGGATGGGTGGATGGATGGGTGGATGGATGGAAGGGTGGATGGGTAGGTGGATGGATGATGGATGGATGGAAGGGTGGATGTATGGATGTATGGATAGATGGATGGATGATGGATGGAAGGGTGGATGGATGATGGATGGAAGGGTGGATGGGTGGATGGATGGATGGATAGATCAAAAGATTGGTAGATAGGTGAGTGGCTTAATAAAACAGGCTGTGCCCAGTGTCTATCCCATTCTCTTCATCACCTTCAAAGACACTGGGGCTTCCAGTTGCTTTTAAAATTTCTCTCTATTCCCTGCTGTTCCAACCCCTCCCATATCTCTACCACATGAGCCACCCAGACCTGAAACCCGCTTGCCATCTCCACTGCATGATGCAAGTCCTCCAGCTCACCACAGTGCTTCTCATCGGAGCCATCAAGACAGTCCTCCATTCCATCACACAGCTGCTTCTGCTCCACACAGCCCAGGACATCACAGGGCATTTGCCCAGGGCCACACCACACGGGTGGGAAGGGCCTGGGGGTGACGCTTTGGCCTGCAGGCAGGACACCACCACAGCCAGCTGACATGGGAACCGGCCACCCTTACCCTTCTTCCTTGGTGGCCTAGCTTCCCTCCGCTTAGCGTCAAGGATACCCCCACTTCCTGCCTTTTTTGGGGGGTAACGAGAAAGGAGTGAGAAAGGTGGATTAGGAAACTTGGGTCTCGGGGCCCATTCTCTACTAAAAGTGATGTGGAAACCATGTGGCCTTGATCCGAGTGGCGAACCTCCTGTGGCTTCTACTCCTTGCAGAGAAGCTGGGCCCTTCAGGCAGAAGAGTCTTACCAACAGGAGTGACTGGAGAGTGTGGGGGAAGCGCCGTCACGGCAGCCGTTGCTGGGAGCGGGCTCTTGGCACCAGGAGGGAATGTAGAGACGGTGGTCACCGTCTGCGTGGGTTGCCCTGGAACAGGCAGGGGAGTCTCAGAAGCATGAACGGGACCTGCTGTCTTCACTGTGGAGGGAGGAGGGTGTGAGGTGACACTAGCTCAGCTCACTGGCCTGTGAGAGGTGGTGAGACAGACCCTGAAGAGGGCATCCCTGGTTCCCATGCGGTACAGGATAATCACAGCCATCGCAGACAACAACCCACCTCGGAGGGGCCCTCAGATCAAAATAAAAGCAGGTCTCTACCATCCAAGGAGCATGAGAAGGGGGTTAAGGGAAAGTAGAAAAAACCTGGTTTGATCTAATGCTATATTCTAGTTGCAAGGAAACACAGCAACCTCCTAATACAAGTTCATTGTAAAAAAACATGTTTAGAGGAGAGAACTGGAGTCATTTAAACACAACGGCAGAAGGAGCAAGCATGGCTGAGACTCAGGATGAGGACATTGCTACTGGTGTGAAGAAACAAGTTTTTTGAGTTTCCTGACAGTTGTAGTGAAAAGGACAGTCAGACACTCATTTTTTCTGCCAAAATATTCATCTTCAAAGACAGCCTTTTTTTGGAACCAGACTTAGAATGAGTCTAGGATTCATCCTATGAGCCCACATGTTGCAGATGTGATTTTTTTTTAACAAAAGACAAAGACATGGTTCAGTCAGACCGCTGGACGGCTTCCACTGGCGCTCACAGGGGAGAGCCTCCTACACTCACAGGTAAGGAAACCGAGGCACCAGGTTGGCATGATGTGTCCAGTATCTCCCATGTTAGAGTCAGTACAAGTCTGCTGCTTCAGGGGTCTGCACCCATCCTACCCTACACTGGGCACCATGGTACAGGTGATCAGTAGCCATGGGTAAGCTGGTACATGCCTGGCAGGGAGTGCCTTTTCCTGCTTAGGAGTATCTTAAGTTGGGAACCCTGCCCACTCTCATGTCTATTTAGGGCACTTGCTGCCAACAAACACTTTAGAAAAAATGCCTAGCATCATAGCTAAAGAGACAAAGACGGGGTCAGGTGGTTTTTCAACTCCTTCAAGGAGACCAGTTCAGGGCCTGGGGGCTGCAGCCACCTTGCGGGACAACTGCGTGGCTCTAGGAACTGTCATTGTCCCTCAGACCTCAAATCCTGGGTCTAGTAGGCTGGTAAGGTTGGGACCTGACCATGCACCAGGAGACCGGTATCTCTTGACCCCACAGCTCTCTTGGGGGTAGTCAGAGGACAGGGGGTTTCAGCCTCTGGGATGCCACCGCCCTTTGCTCTAGAAGGGCAGGTGATGACAAGGGCAAGGCTTTGGGGAGGGTCTTGGAGTTTTGTGTACACACCTGCAGGAAGCATGGGTGGTTCCTGCTTGGGCTGCTGGTGTTCCGTGTCTGCCAGACCCTACAGAGGGAGAGAGCTCAGCAACCCTGCTTAGGCCTCCAGGGAGTTCCACATAGGCATCCTTCTCCAGCAAGTCACAGGTGCCCCCCTCCCACCTCTATATGCTTACAGAAGCTCAGAGCTGAGGACAGAGGTGACTCTCCTGAAAGGTGATCAGGCTGGACACCCCAAGGTACTGGCCCACAAAACTCATGACTAAGCTAACCTACCCTGCAAGGTGGATGAGTTGGGCACAATCAGGCTCCGTCTCGCACCCTCGCTGGCCTGCCTGCGAAACCACTTCAGCTCTTTTACCCAAGACAAGGCAAGGGTCAGTAGCATTGGGACGGCCGCTCTATCCCCCGTCCCCTAACCTGTGCCCTAGACCTTCCTAATTCCCTGAGCAGGTCACTCGTCAACAGGAAGTGTCCTGCCCCTCTTTTGTATCACGGATATCCCCATCCTTCAAGCTTTGTCCCAGATTCCTTTGGGGTCCCCAGGCATAGATTTTAAAAGCAGACGCCCTGGTACCTCCTCACCCATGACACAGAGCCCTTGCCACCCAGACTGCACGGCATCAGTGCCCTGCCTGTCCCTCTAGCACTCAGCATCATACGTGGCACCAAACTGGATCTCACATAGCTCAGAACTGAAGGCTTGGCAGGAATAGCACCAGGAAGCACAAGCTATGGGGAAAGCCACTGAATGTGTGACAGGGAGGTCAGTGCAGGTACAGACAGTACGCTGGTGAGGCACTGACACACAGATCCTCACTTACCTCCCTGGGCTGGGCTGGAAACGTTCCAGGCTGAGTGGAGGAGAGGGCTGGGGTCCTGGTTGTGGAATGGACTCTGGGAAGAAAAAAAAACACCACCAGGAGGGTTCCAGGGAAATCTCCCAGCCCTGGGACCCAACCATCATGAAGGGACAGGGTTAGGGCATCCAAGAGGGGCGCTGCCCACTAAGGCTGGACAAAGGTGAGCCCTACCAATGGTCTCAGCTTGATCATGCCATGATCGATGGAGGACAGGTAAAGCCCTCCCACTTCCCACCCACAGGACCAGGCAGAAACGGAGAGTCTCCCATCTATCATGCTGGGGGAGTGGGCTTAGCGCCATCCTTTGAGAGTCGCTAAACTCCAGGTATCACGAGAATGCACAGAACCCAAGGCTCCTGGGGGAGGCGGGGTAAGGGCTCTGGAGCACCCAGATGTGACTCCTCGGCATGCTTGGTTTGTGAAGGCAAGCCAGGACTCCTCCCATACACCTTTCCCAGGCAGGTCCCATCCAAGGCTGGTCATACCTGCTGCTGGTGCCCGCAGGAAGGGGCCTACAGTCCTCCTCACCAGAGCCATCTCTGCAGTCCACAGAACCATTGCATGGGACACATTCACCACCGGCACAGCGGTGCCTGTTCTCCGGACACGGGGATGCCAATGGGGACACTGCGGAGGATATGCTACTAAAGACATCTGATGTCACACTGCCCACTCTTGTCCCTCCAGCTCCCAAGCTGACCTGTGCTTGGCTTACAGCCCAGTAGCTCCACCCATAGGAAGACGTCGTGCTGGATGTTGTCGCCGTGGTGACCGTTGCGTGGCCACACTCTGACATACCTCGCCTGCACCATCTGGCCGAATGTCCATGCCTCAGGGGCCATACGGTTTGGGCTCCTGGAGGAAAGCTGTGGGAGGTATGACCTGTTGCCCAAGTCCCACCTCTTGCTCAAGCTGCCACTGCAAATCTACTTTGGTGCCCCTTCTATTGGGGAGGATGCCAGCCCCTAAAGGAAATGTGCTGTGCCCTGGTTCCTCCGCAGAGACCCTCACTTCTAAGGGCCTCTGTGAACTGGCGGTGTTACCATCCTGCTCCTTCACAGAGCTGTCAGATGGCCACGCATGCGGACTCTAAGCCACTTCCATGTTGTCAGATGTCCCTGGACGCTCAGCTCCACAGGGCATCGTCCCTGCTAGCGGGCATTCCGTAGATGTCTACTGCAAGGACTGTCCCTCAGGGGAATGAAAGTCCCTGGGGGGGGGCTGTGGCATTCACCAACGGGTTTCTTGGGTCACTTGCCCCAGGGGACTGGAGCGCTTAGTACCGTGGGTGGGGGCAGGGTACCGGGCGGGGAGCTGAGGGAGTCATGCCACCATAGACCGTCACTGCTGAACTGGAGCGACAAGCTCGTGACATTAACAGAAGAAGAGCCGACTCCCTGCACCACGATGCCTGTGGAGGGACCAGGGCAAGGCAAAGGCCAGTAGCACCGAGACAGCCACTCTGTCCCCCGTCCCCCTAACCTGTGCCCTCCTCCTCACTGACCAGTTAGGTTCCGTGGTTGCAGCAGGTCCAGCTGCAGGTAGAGCGGCTGGGGATGCCACTCGGCATAAGCATCCTCTCCAGGGCCACGCCCTGTGGTGGGAGCCCCCATGGCAGCCCAGGTGGGGTGTTCCAGGGGCTGGGATGATGCCCACATGGGCAGTTGGGCCAGGCCCAGGGGAGAATAGCAGGCATCTGGGTGCAGAAGAGAGAGAGGAGATAGGCTGGACTAGGGCAGAATAGAGGGTGTGGCAGGGACAATTAGGGAACTTCAAGGGGAGCCGAGGGTGTGGAAGGCAGGAAATTGAAGCAAGGAGGGCAGAGCTGGGGAATGCAGTGTGGGATGGGCGACCCCATCACCTGCAGTGTGTAGGAGGCAGGGAACTGTGCCAGAGAGGTCCCTGTCTTCCTAGAGGCTTGGCAATCGCTAGGGAGTCCCTTTCTGCATCCAAACAGCGAGTGACTTACCCCCCAGGGGAGGCAGAACATAGGTGATCAGGGGGGCTCCGATCTGAGGACTGGGGGCAGAGGCAGGTGTGGTCATGGGGACCACTGTCTGGTTCTTTCCTGTGCGGAGACCCAGGGGTCAGAAAAGAGAGTGGGAGAGGCTGCCACCAGCCACCAACCCAGTACTCGGGCCCGCCACACTTCCTGGATGGACCACGTTCCCTCTCACGACTCCTCAAGAGAGAAATTCCGACCGGGAAGGGTCCCTCTTTCCCTTTGAGTGAACTGGGGCTTCTCACCTCCACTGACTATTCAGAAAACAGAATAAAACCCCAGGGCCAAAACAACTTTCTGACGAGTGTGGAACAGGTGCAGTTTCTGACCCCTGTCGGCATTGGAAGGAGACTCGCGCAGTGAACATCCTATGTAACTGTGCGTGCTGGGTAAGTTCTAACTTCATCAGCTGCACTTTTAGGATGAGGAAACTAAACCACTGCTCCCTGTCACGGTCGGCACCCAGTTCTTCTCCTCTTCAAGCTCTTCTGCCACTCCCCAGACCCACTCACCGGGCAGTGCACAGTGGCAACACGATTCTCCCGTGCCCTCCACCAGGATCCAGCCCTGTGGGGACATGCAAGTCAGGCCACTTGTCCAGCCCTGGCCCACTCCCCAAGCCCGGCTGGTCCGCATCACCTCTCCAGACTCAGCCCTCCCCACATTCCCTCTCACCTGGGGACAGGTGCCCAGTGGGCAATAGGGGGAGCAGCGTGTGGCACCCCTGGGCAGACACTCACACACCATGCAGGGGCCCCCACGCCAGCGCTCTCCAACATGGTGCACGAGGCCCCACTGCTCACAGCCCTCACAAGGCTCTGTCTGGCACCTGGGAAGGGAGATGCGGTTGCGGCCTCCTGGTGGTGGAGGGAGCTCGCTCAAAGCCAGCCCTCCCCAACTTGCTGGAATAAGAGTATTCCTAGATTTGTGGGTTGTCACTAATAAAACTGGGAAAGTCCTGGGTAAATGTTTGGTCACACTATAATTCCACTTTACCCCTGCTCCTAAGAGAACAGGCACAACAGAATGGGAGGAAAGCAATGTGTGCCAACACTGTAGGTTAGCACAGCCTGCCCCAGAAGAGTTGAAATAACTATGACTCTACAAGCCTCAACAGAGGCAACCCCCCTGCCCCTGCCCTCCAGAGACAGAAACCCATTCTTGCCCCTGGAATGGTCGAGCACCATTGGTCTGTTGGTTCCTGGACCTAGCGGATACAAAACCGATATAGGAAAAGACAACTGAGGTGTCACAGAACAGGTTGCTAGTGAGGTCTCTGTCAGATGTAAAATGCCTACCTCAGAATCGACCTCCTAAGCAGAGGCAGAGGGTAGATCGGGTCCCCATCCTGTACCTGCGGGCCTTGCGGTGGATACCACGGCACTGGCGACCCCGACCGGAGAGGCGCGGGTTGTTGGGGCTCCGGAAAGACCACTGGAGGCTCTGGCTGCTGCAGGGACCCAGGCACTCCGCCCAGGGGGACCAGGAGGACCAGCCACAATCCACTGAGAGAAGACAGAAGTCAGGGCTGGTGGTCTGGGGAGGGGTAAGTCTGTCATCGTCGTCAGTCAGGGCTGGGTGGTCTGGGGAGGGGTAAGTCTGCCCCCCCCACTCCAAAGGATAGGCCTGGGCAGCAGCTTACCAGAACATTCTGGATTGGGCCGGCAACGATGTGGTCGCCCATCCTGGCAGAGGCAGAGCTGGCAGTTCATCTTGATGCGTTGCCCAGGCCAGTAACGGGTACCGTTCACCAGGCAGGGGCACTGCGTGGGTCTCAGACATCGCCCCTCAGTGCCAAGCACCTGCCCTTCTGGGCACCAGCAACCTAGGTAAAGCCCAGCATTATGTAGCATGCAAAGCCAAGCCTCCACAGACCCGGTCCAGTTACCCCGCTCCCCCGCCCTTACCTGGGCTGGTGCAGGGCCTGTCTGGTGAGCACATGGTCTGACCAGAAATATCATCACACGTCAGAGGGCAGGGGGCACAGGGCCAGAATACCAGCTCCCCAGAGCAAGTGGCGTTGGGGCAGCCTTCCTGAGGGCAGGGATCTGAAAGTAGGCGAGGACAGAGAGGCGTCTGCAGCGAGACCGGTATCTACCACTGTCCGCCACACTCCTAGTGCCCACCACAATCCCCCAATGTCCTCAGCGTTTCAACTGGTGACTCCCATGCCCACCGTTCTGCTCCCTGCCCCAGCAACCCTCCGCTCCTGCTAAGTTCCGCCCACTCCCCATAGCCCAACCAGAGGACCTCCTCTCTCGTAACCCATCGTCACCCTCCTCGTGCCCTTCCTTGAGCCCTCTTCCCCTTTACTCACTGGCCTGGTGAACACCACGAGGGCTCCCAGACAGCAGTAAACAGTCCTGGCCCCCGTTTCGGGGTGGATGGCACTGCCGGTGGCGTGTCACGGTGCCCCCACAGGGTTCGGAACACAGAGACCAGGGAGACCAAGCACTCCATTCGCCATCCACTGCAAGGGAGGGCCAGGGTGGCGTGTGTGTTGTGGGGAGGGGGATTTGAGGCAGGACTAGGGACCAACAGCCTCCATCTCCCCCCTCTGTCTCCAGGACCTACTGCCCCGTTCCCCCTCCCAGGTGTCCCGTCCCTCACCAGGGCAGGCCTCCGTGAAGCAGGTCTGTGACTGGTGCTGTGGTCCTGGGCAGTTCTGCAGCACCGGGAGACTGGATGGGGAGCATTGTCGACTCCGACCCTGTATGCCAGGCCCGCAGGTCTGACTGCATGGCTCCCATGGGCCCCAGGAGCCCCAGGCCCCACAACCCTGCTCTTCCGGGGAGGGCTCTGCTTCATTTTCCAGCCTGCAGTCTGGGTTCCCATCACAAACCTGGAGAAGCGACAGGTTCAGGCTTCTGGCTAGGTGTACAAAATCTGAGCCTACCCAGCCATACTTGAGATTCTCACCTGCAGGAAATCAATGCAGGTGCCATTCGGGCAGGAGAATTCTGGGCAGGGGACCCCTGTCCCGTTGGGGCCTCCTGGGACTGACGGCCCCTCTGGGGAAGAAAGAACAGTTAAGTAGGAGTGAAAATCATCTCCTAGACTACAAGAGTGTCCCCAGCAAGAAAACAGTATCCACACCACAGCCCAGCTCATCCTTGCCCTGGAGACAGTCAGGGACCCCATCACAGAAGCGCTTAGAGTTCAGGCACAGCCATGGAGTCAAACCACAGGAGAAGAGGCCATGGCATGAGGGCAGTTGGGTGGGTCCTATGGATAAGAAGTGTCCTACGGCACTGCTCCCACACCGCCATCCTATCCCCGAATACAGACCAGCAGGGAAAGCCGGGATATTAGGAGGACTTGGGTAAGAGGCATAGTTCTGTTCTGGATCAAAGAATCCTTTAGAAGGGGTTTAAGAATAATCCTGGAGAAAAGTAAGGGCCTGTGGATGGTTTGATACCCTCTCTGGTGAGGTAGCCAAGGAACAAAGGGCTTTTTTTTTTTTCCCGAGACAGGGTTTCTCTGTGGCTTTGGAGACTGTCCTGGAACTCGCTCTTGTAGACCAGGCTGGTCTCGAACTCACAGAGATCCGCCTGCCTCTGCCTCCCGAGTGCGCCACCACCGCCCGGCTATGAAGGGCTCATTTGTGAGGGCACAAAGAGTTCCACTTGGGTGAGTTGGGAAGAAGCTGTGGTTGGGGAAGCCTCCAAACAGACCAATTCCCCCCATGCCCTCAGCCATCACCCACTGTCTTGTTTCTTCTTGCCCAAAAATGAGCAGACAAAAGACCCCCTTCCAGCCTGGTGGTGGTGGTGCACGCCTTTGATCCTAGCACTCGGGAGGCAGAGGCAGGTGGATCTCTGTGAGTTCGAGGCCAGGCTGGACCGACAGCCTCCAAAATAGAGAAACCCTCTCTCGTAAATACCAAAAAAAAAAAAAAAAAAAAAAAGACCCCCTTCCTACTCTCCCACGGGCCTGCAGGGGGACGCAAAGACCTCTAAGGACAATTTTATGATAAAGACCAAAGAAACACAAAAATCAGTCACATAGGCCCTCTCTAGCTGTGCACCATCTGCCACAGCAAGGGGGCCAACGGCGGCACTTGAGAAAAGGGAGGTGCACAGAGTGAGGTATGTGACTCTCACCGCAGGCTTCGGCAACCTCATCTGAGCCATCCGGGCACTGCGGCACGCCGTCACATAGCTGTGCTGGGGACACGCAGTACGGGCTGTGGGCACAGGGCGCCTGGTACAGCGTGCAGGGCCCACCACAGCCAAGCTCATCACTTCCATCCGGACAGTCTTCTTCCTGGTCACAGCGCCAGCCCTGAGGAGTGCACTCCCCGCTGCTGCACTGGAATTCAAAGAGGCCGCAGGGAGACGCTGCAGCGGTAGGTGTGTTGGTTAGATCATCTTCGGCTCTGCTGGTCCAGCTCACCCTCACGTCTCCTTTGGGGCTGCCCTCTAATTTCAGCATCCCTGACTTCTTCCCCGAGCATGCCCCTTCCCAATCCAGTCCTGCACATCTTGTGTTTGACTGCTTTTTTTTTCCTGCAAGCCTTCCCCTAGTCCCTAACACGTCCACTAGGTTCTCCTTCACATGTTCAGAGGGTGGCCCTGAACACCAGGAGACAAACCTGACCTTCCATCGCTCTCAAACACTGAACACGTCATTCCAGAGCCTCCAAGCCCTGGAGTCTGGCGCAAATGCTTCCCTCTGGTATACTCACCCATCCCTTTCTGGGCCGCACAGGCTCCCAGCTTTCTTACCTTATTTATTCCCAGAGACTCACCAGGGCTGGCACTGCCCGTAGGACTTGAGGCTGCATTCAGAGAGCTGGCGGAAGGGCTCTGCCAAGCGCCAGCAGGGGGTGTGGGCAGAGAAGGCAGAGGGCAGTGCCCAGGTGCCTCATCAGCTCCCTCCGGGCAGTCCCAAACTCCATCACACAGCTGCATGGCCCTAATGCAAGTACCGTCATCACAGGGTACTTCTCCAGACGGGCAGCTCGCTAGCCCTGCAGCCAGAGGAGAGGCGGGGATCCTGGGACTTACCCCTTCTAAGGCTTACAAAAATGTATGTGTCTGTGTGTCTGTGGAGGTAAGCGGCACGTGTGCAGGTGCCTGTGGAGGCCAGAAGAGGATTCAGAACCCCTGGAGCTGGAGTCACAGGCGGCCGTGAGTGGCTCAATGTAGGCGCTGGGAACCGATTTCAGGTCTTTGACCACGGAGTCACCCAGCCCCTGGGTGGATCACCACTTTTTCTATTTCTTTGGGGGTATCTCCATTCAGTCACCACCTTCGTGAGTGGGGATGGGGCATAGAAGGGGATGGATACTCAGGGGCCTTCCAGGATCTGGACCCCTGGGAGGGGGTGCCTAGTGGACTGGAGGCAGGGCAGAGACTCCTCACCCAGACAGGACTCCTCATCCGCAGCATCCGGACAGTCAGGATGACCATTACACAGCAGGGCGGGCGGCAAGCAGCGACCGTCGGCACAGGCCAGGGAGCCATGGGGACATGGGCACCCCTTCTCATCCGTGCCATCTCCGCAGTCATCCTGCCCGTCACAGAGCAGGGCCAGGGGCAGGCAGTGGCCAGATTGGCAAGACATCTGTCCCTCCCCACAGCCTGAGGTGGCACAGCCTATTGCGGGGGAAAGCGGGCAGGTTCAGGATGCCGTGCTACCGAAAGTCCGGGCCCAAGAAAGACCAGAGCACCCTCCCTGCCCCTCAGTCTTCACTCATTAGCTCCTGGCAGGGGAAGCAGCAGCTTAGGGAGCTATCCTGGGGGACAGATGCTGCAGCTTCAACAAACTCAGTTACCTGTCCTTGTTACCGCCACACACAGGTAAAAAACAAAACAAAACAAAAACGCTAGCTGTGCGGTGGTGGCACACGCCTTTAATCCCAGCACTTGGGAGGCAGAGGCAGGCGGATCTCTGTGAGTTCGAGGCCGGGCTGGACCGGCAGCCTCCAAAACAATACAGAGAAATCCTGTCTCGTTAAAAAAAAAAAAACCAAAAAAAAAAAAAACAAAAAACAAAAACGCTTACCCTCTTCATCCGAGCCGTCGCCACAGTCATCCTGGTTGTCACAAAGCCACTCAAGAGGCACACAGTGCCCGCTCTCTCTGCACGGAGCCTCCTCTTCTGGGCAGCCAGGTTCCACCTCCTCACAGAGGACGCCATCACCTCCACAACGCCACTGACTTTCCTGACACGTACTGGGCACAGTAGGGGCCTGGCGTTAGCCACACATCAACAGCGTGTCCAGTCCAAGGGCACAGGCTTCTCTCGGGCCTCCCACTCACCAGTTCCCACAGCCTTTCTGCAACACAGTTCCTGGTGGGAAGAAACTGCCACCCCACTCACAGGGACAGGCGGTCAGCTCCACACAGGCTCCCCCTGAAGCACAGAGCATGGGATTCAGGGACAAAGGAATCCCAGCCATCACGCGCGGCCTTTACCCAGCCTTAGTGTCCTCTCTCCAGCAAACACACCATGCAGCAGCGTCCCCTCGGGGCAGAAGCAGCCTTCCACACAACTGATGGCCTGGCAGTGCCATCTGGTCTCAGGATGACGGTCATGACAGGTAGGGGGACAGGCAGAGCCACAGGCTTCATATACTTGACCTCCTTCACACTGCAGGGCTGGGTGGGGAGAAGGGGGGGTCTGCTCACTGAGGCCCCAGGAAGCAATGGCACAGGCAAGCCAGCTTCAGTTGACACCCAAGGAAAGCACAGGATACATGCTGGAGACCTTTACCAAGACTACCACCACCCCCCCCCAAAAAAAACAAGATAAAGGATGCTAGAGCCCCGCCCATCGGTCCTTCTCATGTTTGGTTCACTAAGCCGTTTCTAGCAACGGGGTGAGCATTCAGCTCACACTTGGACCTAAGGGACCCAAGGGGCCAGCTGGTGGGACAGGAGAAGCAGCACCTTCCGAGGGGCTCGACTGTACGGCAGGACGGAGAGGGTAGGGCACACTCACGGCAGAGTTCCTGACTGCGCCAGCGCACGTGGCGTCCGCGCCGGGCACACTCATCGGCGTAGGCAGCAACGGCTGAGCAGAGGCACTCGCAGTCGCCCCCTGTGTCACAGCTGCGGGGCGGAGCCACCAACCCCAATCGTCATACACACACACACACACACACACACACACACACACACACCCGCTCCCTACCCACACCTCAGCATGCCCACAGCACCCACCACCCCTCAGCCCTCCGTACCCGCAAGCGTCGTACACACACCACTCATAGTGCCGCTGTGGGGGCACCTCTGTGTGACACAGGGTGAAGATTGTCTGCAGTATCACCCCACAGCGGGCCTGGGCCCAGTTCAGCCGGTGGGCGTTCACCTACAACACAGGGTGCTTCTGTGAGCCTCCCTGCCTCCCCCATCTCTCTCTCTCTCTCTCTCTCTCTCTCTCTCTCTCTCTCTCTCTCTCTCTCTCTCTCTCTCTCTCTCTCTCTCTCTCTCGTTACACCCCTGCCTCCCTCTGGCTGCCCTGCCGTGCTCACTGTACAGGGGTGAGGCATGTCTCCCGGCTCAGGGCACAGGGGATTGAGGCGCCAGGAATGGGCAGTGAGCTCTGCTGTGGGCTCCAGGACTCCTTGGCGGCTCCGCAGGTCATTACTGGCGTCGCCGTCGAAGTCTCCACACAGCCCAGCCACACGACCGTGGAGGTGGGGGGACAGCCGTACCAGCACCCGGGTGCCTGGTGTCATTATAAAAAGTGACTTTCAGGGCCCTCCGCTGGGCTGGGGGCAGAAGGACACTTGGGTGTGACAGCCTCTCCTGCACAGGTGTCCCCGCCCATCAGAGGTGCTGATTCCCTCTTTTGGGTGGGGATAACTGAAAAGACCAACATCTGGGAGCCACGTAGGAATCTAGTTTCCTAAGTACAACTAGATTGAGAGACGCAAAATCCCCAACCAGCCTAGCATTCGGGTGGCTTCAGAATGCGATGAGAGGCCCTCATATCAGTGGCAAGAAGCTCCAGGCTAGCCCAGCAGAGAGGACCAAACGCACACAGAGTTGTTTTGTTTTCCTCAATTCCTCATTAACAATTGCACTTCTAAGATGCCAACTGCGCCTTAGCAGCGAGGTGTCAGCGGGTCTATTTTCATTTCTTCCGAAAACTCGATATTTTCTAAACGCTCCTTTGGTAGGGCCGTCATATTTGTAAAACGAAGGAAAACACAGCTATGAAAATATAATATGGGTCCTGAGGCCTTAAGTAAGAGTACTGACTACTCTTCCAGAGGACCCGGGTTCAACTCCCAAGCACCAACACAGCAGCTCACAACTGCCTGTAACTCCGGTTTCAGGGGATCCAGTGCTCTCACACAGACATGCACACAGGCAAAACAGGAATGCACATAAAATAAAAGTAAATAATTTATAAAAGAAAATATAATGTGGAAATTTCAACCAATTTCAGGGGCTGTAAGTTGGGGGAGGTGCCCAGAAGGATGGGAGACAGCGAGAATCTTGGCCTGAGCGTTAATACTGTAAATCCGTCCCAAGTAGGCTGTCAGGGGCCAGTCTCAACCTCAGAGCTTGACAGGCACTGGGAAGAAGGGTTTGGGGGAAACCAAGCTACCAGTGCAAAGGGCAGAGCCTGACCTCCATCCCAGAGCAGAGTGAGACCTAGGCGTGTTGTCAACAGCAGGAAGATGCCGGCATGGTGCAGGCTCAGCCCGGGGCCTGTATAAACTTTGGGGGGGCTTTATGCTCACTCCATTCACCGTTACTGCCTGGCCTGGAGAAGAGAGGGTGTTAAATTTAGCCTGGGCCCTGAGAGGCCTTCCCAGCCACCCTTCCAAACTTTCTTTTGCTTATTTCCCTAGGTGAGGTTGGGTGGGTCATAAGGCTTCTCTGGGCCTCGATTTTCCAGGGTTCCGGCTCCAACAAAGCCCACCATAAGAACAGCCAAACCCAGGGAGGAGCTGAGAGGGAACCTGGGGCCTGGCCGAGCTGAGGAGGTGTGGTGCTACACTGTTGTGCCTCCCGCCCTCTAGAAGTACCACAGCTGCCCTTGATAGGTCACAGCCACCTCTAAGCATGTGCACAACGGTGCTGTCCAGGCGCACAGTCAGTGCTTTGGTGCAAGTGAGGCCACTGGTCCCACACGGCAGGTTCTGGATGGAGACACTGAAGCGGCCACCAGCCTCTCTCACAAGCAAGTACTCGCAGGCCCCAGGAAAGGTAAGGACCAGTCCATCGAATGTCACATAGTGGGGGGGCTCCGGATGCCTGGCACCACCCACTGCACCGATGGCCCGTGCAGTGCCACCGTTGGCCCTGGCAGACACTGTGGGCAAGAGATAGAGGACAGCGTCACCAACGACAGCCCAGACAGACCCCGGGTGCCAGGGATTCTAGAAGGCTCCCGGCATCTAGACTACTCTGGATGTGCTGCCCCATCTACTATTCCAAACCCCTTTAGCCAAAGAGGCACGGTGTCTGGGGGCTTCAAGGGTCACAAGGTCATACGGTAACAGGTGACAGTGACCGGGCATACCAAATGTTGCAATCTTCCTGGATGGTGGCGTTGGGTGGGTACCATTGCCCATTGTGACGACAGGGACAAAGATCGGGAGGCACACAGCGCTTGTCCTAGGTGGAGAGTGAAAAGGCTACTTTGGGCAGCTAGGGAGCCCGGCAGGATCCTTGTATAGGGAGGGCACCCTTGTTGCCTCATGGGTCCCCTTCCCAGGCCTCACCAGCAGCACGGTACCAGGGGGACAGACGCAGCCATCGGTGCTCCCAGCTAGACAGGAATGGTTGGAACTGAGGCTGTCACAGGTGAGAAGGCAGGAACCAGGGGCATAGATGAGCTCCTGGGGGCAGAGTGCCCTCCTTGGGGGACAGTGGTTAGAGGTGCAATTCCAAAGGCCCCTCTCCTGGCAGACACTGGAGAGGAGGGAAGATAGAAGAGGCAGGCCCAGCATGGGCTCATCTGGCTATCCTAGGCCCTAGTCTGCCACAGTGAATCTCAGGAACCTAGATACTGAGGATCCCTGCAGGCATCTGGATCCTCTAATGTCTGGTAAGAGCCCAGCCCCAGTTCTAGAGACTGGAACAGCTCAACTTCCAATACCCTAACCTCCAGGACAGGAGGGCAGGCTGTTCAGGAAGCCCACATGCCTGGGATCCACAGTCCCCCTTCTGTCTGGCCTGTTATTGACTCCCCTAATGCGATGACTAATCTTGACTGCCCATTTGATGAGATCTGGAATCCCCTGGAGACAGATCCCTGGGCCCGTCCATGAGGGATCTTCTAGACTGGGTTAACTGACCCGTGGAGACCCACCCGGACTGGGTAGCGCCATTCCACAGGCTGAGGTTCCCAAGCTAAAACAAAAGGGAGAAACTGGGCCAAGGACCAGCATTCATCTTCCTCCCTGCTTCCTGTCTAAGGACGCAATGTGACCGGGCACCTCCTGCCGCCATGACTTCCCCACCATGATAGACTGCATTTCTTTGCACAGTGAGCCAAAAGAATCACTTCCTCCCTCAAGCTGCCTCTGGTCAGGTTTGGTCACAGAAGCAAGAACAGTGACTAAGACATTTACCACTTGTCCAAGCAGCAGCAGGGATCCACTTAAGTGCCCTGGAGCCTGCCGCTGCCTCCTTAGGTATAGACCTCATCTTTCCTCCCCTGTAGCAAACTGTCCACGTATCTGAGCCCCACTCTCTTCTCATCTACCAGGTAGGAATTGCTTTTCACTCCCTACTCTTTGTTAGACTATAGGTAGGAAGTAAAATCAACACAATAGGTAGTGGGCATGGAAGAGCTTCCTGAAGCTGACAATGCCCGGGCACTGGGGAAATCCCAGCACCCCACCATCCCCCTCCCCCCCGGCAACCCAAGGTGACCAGGCCTCAGCACAGCTAACCATTCTCTCGAAAGCTCTTCCTCTTTTTGTCCAAGGGTGGCAGTTCTTACCAGTGGCTGCAGTCTTCCGTGGTGGTGATGGTGCCAAACGTGTAACGCCGGCCTCCAAGCTGGCAGGGGCACATGCTGGGAGACACACATTGACCCTCGGGGTCCCACAGCAGTCCTGGGGGACAGTTACAACCAGCCACACAGCTGCCAAGCTCTTTACACTCTTCTGGCTCCCCACAGTGGTGACCACACACCGGGGCACACTCCTGGTATGCCTGGCCACCAGGACACAGGATAGCTGAAGAACACAGGGACACATGCAAATCAGAAGCCTCGCCACCCTGTCTGAACCTCAAGTCCCTCTGCCTCTGCAGGAGAAAGCACCAAGCAACAGTCTGGCAAGGAAGGAGTTCCTCCCTGCTCCGACTCCCCCCCAGCTGGGGAGGAGGGTACTGGGAGAAGGAGGTGAGGAGCCCAGGATTGGCTGGGTGGAGAGACTCACGGCACAGCGTCTGGTTCCTCCATTGCAGCAGGACACCCTCCTGGGCACAGCGATGTGCATAGGCAGAGAGCACGGAGCACAGACAGTTCCTGCCAGGGGCACAGCCACACACAGCCTCCAAGCACCGCAATCGGAATGATTCTCTGTCTACTAGCTCGTGGCACATCTTTGGGCACAAAGAAAGGGTCAGTTCTTTCTTCATGGATTCCATCCCTTTGGGAGCCCAGTGCTGCCTCCCTGTACCCTTGACTCTCTTGCGTTTTGGGTCCTTGATTGATCTTATAGGCAGAGGAAGGGGGACACCTTAGTACCTTAAAGGCGGGGCCGTGCAGGACGGCACAGGCTGCCTCTGCAAAAGGGAGCCGCTGGGCGTAAGTGCTGCAGGAGGACAGTGGGATGTTATCCATCGGGGGGGCACCTTCCATCGCCTGACACCCTGAACTTGCCAACAAAGGCGGCGACGCTGGTCTCTATGTCGCCAGCCGGTGTCAGGAAGTCATCCTGCTGTCTCCAGGTGAAGGTTCCACATAGACCCTGCACCTGAGCCACGGAAGACACATAAAAGTGAGATCCAGTCCTACTTAGCCTAGCCCAGACATTCACTGGCCTCCTAGCATACCTGGTAGGCATGACGGGGGTCCAGGGTGATGTAGGCTGCAGGGTCAGCCACTCCCCAGAGAACCCGGGCCCCAGGCCAGCGCAATAGCAGGAAAGTGGAAGAGGCATGGGAAACATTGAAGCCCTCAGCAATCCAGGGCAAATTTACATCCTGCCCATCCACCAGCACAGCTCCTAGAAGAGAGGTCTGACTATGTGGTAGGGAGTCTTTGGGAGGATGGGGTTGCAAGAGGGGAAAGACTTGGTAAAATGGGATGGCATGTGTCTAGGGAGGGGTGTGGGAGCCACTAGTGATCCCTGGAGGCCCCTGGACCTACCAGAGACGACCATTCCTGCCATAGCTCAAGAACCCCACATCATCATGCATTTTTGCATATTCCCTTTGTGTGTGTGGTCAATGTGTGAGGAGCTGGATAAAGAAAGCCAGCAGCAGGCCTGGGCATGGCCGAGTTGGAGGGACAGCACAGAGAGGGGCCAGCCTCAGAGAGGGGCCAGCCTCAGAGAGGGGTCAGTCTCAGCTGCTCATGCACAAGGCCTTTCCAACTCTGTGGCTTGTATTTACCACTTAAGACCTGCAGAAGATGTCTTGGAAAATATCTTTGGGATAGTGTGTCTGCCCCGTGATGGGAGCACAAAGCAGTGTAAGCAGTTAGGTTCAGCTGCAGGAATCTAGAAGGGATGGTTATTGAACTCCAAAGAGGGTGTGTAGAGGGCAGGTACAGGTAGGGCTGAGTTCGCAGAGTAAAAACAGTGGACAACAGAGAACAAGGGCCCCACATTAGACAGAGCTGCTACCTGAGTATCTGAGCTGAATGTGGGTGTTCCCCAGGAACACAGAGAGGGCATGGAGGCAGCTCCCAGTGTCGCAGGCCCCATGCTCCAACGTAACCAGCAGCTGGCCTTTCACAGAGTCCTGGGGCAGACAAGGTAAGAGGGGCGTGTAGAGAATCCACGAGGAAGGCCCGGCAGTGTGATAACTTCAGCTCCCACTCCACACAGGTGCTACCCAACTTCTAGCCAGACAGATGCTGGGAGGCAAGGGGCTTAACCTCACCAGGGACCGACACGGGTGAATGGGTGTGAGTGCATGTTGGTGTGTGTGTGTATGTGTGTGTGTGTGTGCGTGTGTGTGTGCATCTAAGGTGTGTGTGTGGGCGGTATGCAGGTATCCATTCTCCTGCCAGCATTGCTGTCCATCTCTCCTTGCAAGGGGGCCTAGGTTTCACCTATTGCTTTAATGGCTTGTTTACAGTCCTCTCCCCCTCAGGACTCCCCTGTGAGGGCCCCCCCACCCTGACAAAAACCCTCTCCTTGAAATGGGCTCTCTGCTCACCTGTACCAAGCTGTAGTGGCAGCCTGGATTACCCCTGAAGGAGAAGCTCCGCCCATCAAAAGTGAGGTAATGCCCGTCACCGCCCACTGCACACTCAGCAGGGCACAGGGCCTGGGCACAGTGCCAGCGGCCATCCTGGCATACGCTAAAGGCACAGAGGGCGGGACAGGGCACCGTGGCATCAGATCCATCCCAGAGAGTGGAACTGGACACGAACCAAACCCAGCCCATTGGTTCTTCCCCCCCCGGCACACCCACCACCATTAGAACTGGATAGTCATTAATCATGCCAGAAAATGTCACAGGCCACTGGGTGGGGAAGTCCCAGAAGGCACCGGCTGTTTGGAGGTGCAGATCTCAGAGACGGCATAAAGAAAAGCTATCAGAAGAGTGCTACTACATGGCCCACTAGAGCCCAAAGACACACCAAGGGTTGCACAGCTGGTTCACAATGTCGCCAGGGGCGTAGCGCTGGCGTCGGTGGTAGCAGGGGCAATGGGCGGCGGGCACACAGTGGGCGCCATCCCAAAAGAGGCTGTCTGGGCACTCACAGCCACTCACACACTCTTTCCCACAAGACCCCTCCTCTCCCTGGGCTACTGCTGAGCAGCTGGGTGGGCAGGAGGAGACGCAGTCAGAGTAGAGCTGACCCCCTGGGCACAGGCGTTCTGTGGGAACAAAAATGGCCCGTGAAGGACTGGCCTCGGAAACCCAACAGGTCATGGGAGACAGCGGGGGTTGGCGGGAGGGCTCAGGAACAGGCCACTCAGGGATTTTGGTTAGTTTGGGGAGGCAGACCCAGCATACCACAGAATCCAGGCTTCCTCCAGCGAACATAGATGTGCTGTCTGGCACAGGCCTGGGCATAGCTGGAGAAGGTGGCACACACAGCTTCCGGCTGCCCCCCTGGGCCCTTGTCTGCTCTGGCTCCGATACAGTAGGCAAAGAGGCAGGTCTCATGGTACTCATTCGGGGGAACCTGGAGGGAAGGGCATTTGACTTTCCTCACCAACGTCTGCCTCCTCTTCCGTTGCACCCCAACTCCGAAACCAAACGTAATGAGTGCCGGAAGGGGCCTCAACGGCCCCAAGAGCAGCCCTCTTGTTCTCGGAAGTAAAGCCAAAGAGAGGAAGGGGTGCCGTGACCGAGGACCTAATGCATCTGATGGCAGGATCAGGTCACCAACCTCTCCAGCAGTCGCTAGCCCCTGCAGAATCGTCCCCCCCCCCAGAGCTGGTCACCACCTCCACCCCCACCCATACCTGGGTGTGGCATTGCCTGAATGGATCCTCCAGCAATTGGTGGCATATATCCTGGGCTTGAGCTCGGAGCTTGCCAGCTTCCAAGTCTGTTTGTGTACCTCGCAGGGCACCCTCACAGCCCTGAGCCATCTCCACTGCATCCAGACACCCAGGCTGTGAGGACAGAACCAGGCCAGGAAGCATTGACAGGGCATTAGCCAGGAAAACAGGAAAGTGATTGCTACCCTCATAGCTTGCCTCACTGTCATGCCCACCGGACCTCATTCTGGGCCAGGGATGGACGCAAAGTGACAAGCCCAGGCCAGAGAAAGAGGAGCCAGGGTCAGTCAGCCCAGACAGAGCTGGCCCAGTGACCACATCAGGAAGGACCCCTAGGTAGTCATCACACAGCAGTTTCCAGGCTCTGTATGGGACCCAGAACCTGTGTTCTCTTCCTGAGGACCCCAGAAAATATAGTGGGAAGGTAGGAAGCAGTCTCACCTCATAGCCAGGGAGCCTCCATGAATTCCCAAAGGTGGCAGCTAGCATAGCCAGACCCCCTTCTGGCTCCACAAAGTCATCTGAGGAAGATTGAGGTTAGTGCTAGACCTGGAGTCCTATGTCTTTTCCCATCCATCCATCCATCCATCCATCCCTCCCTCCCTTCCCCCTCCCCCCCCTAGCCACACCAAACCATACCATACATACCCTCTGGCTGGCCATTGTAGAGCCCACAGAGGCCCTGTGTCCGTCCCCAGAACTCATGGTCCACGGAAATGGAGATGGAACTGGACCTGTCCAGTCTCACAACAACCCCTAGGCCCCCAGAGAGCACCAGCCAGTCCCCCTGCCACTGTAGGCTCATCCCTGGGAAGAGGACAGGGCCGTTCAGTCTCAAGGGTCATACATGCTCGCTCTCATCACAGCAGAGCCTAAACAGCCTAAGGAAGCAATTCACACAAACTTACAAGCTGCACTGTGGGTTTTCCTGCTGGGACTACTATCTTGGGAGAGTAGACTACAACACACACACACACACACACACACTATCCACGCCACACATATCCTATATACACATTCAGCTCACACCGCATATATGCATACAATACACATACCTTATACACAGTCCACGCACTGCAACCCACAACATGTACCACGCACCCCACAGTATGCAGACACGCATGCCGCACCTCCACACAGACAAAACACGCACGTTACACACAGACTCACTCCGCCCACCCGCCCATACCATACAGACGCATTCACACTTAACCCCGACCCCGTATCTCAGCCGTGACGAGACTTTTCGTGGGGGAGGTGGGGAAACTGAGGCTCAGGACAGCTGAACAGAGTGACTTGCCCAAGCCACAGTTGGAAGGCAGTAGGGAGCGGGTGAACCTCGTGCCTTCCTGACCCTCAACTTTCAAAAGCTTCCCAACAGGACTCGGGGGGAATGCAGCAGCTCCGTCCCAGCCTGCTACCCTGCCCTCGAAAGTTGGCAGACCACCCCAGAGGAGGGAAGGAGACCTCACCGTGGAGCAGCCGAGGCTCCCCAACAGGCACTGGCTGTCCCCTCACAGAGACCTCTCCATCTTGGATCAGTATTTCCTCCGGGCCCATCATCACTTGAACCTGAGAGCGAGCGGTGGACCAGATGTGTTAACTCTCCACCCTGCCATGTCCCGACCTCCCCTGGGGGTCATCTCTCTCCCTTCCTCACCAGCCAACAGTGCCCAGACTGGGGACAGTGGACCCTCGGTCTGAGGTGGACAGCCCAGGTGGAATCCACAGCACCAGCCAGCAAGTAGGTACACTGGCCCAGGAAGTGGTAGTGACGCCCGTCAAAGGTTTGGTAGTGGAAGCCGGACCAGGTGGAACAGGTGGCTGAGAGACGCTTGCTCCGGCTCCAGAGCTGGCCCACAGCTCCTGCCAGAGGCAGGAGGGCTTCAGAGGAAGCATTGCCTGGATAAGACACATCGCGTGTGAGCCTCTAAATGCAGGGACAGAGGTTAAGGACATGGTTCCTGGCGCAGCAGGAGATATGACAGCAGGGTTAGGGACCATAGGAGGAGCCAGGGCTTGGTGGAAAGGTCCAGAACTCTTATTTTTTTTTTTTTTTTGGTTTTTTACGAGACGGTTTCTCTGTATTGTTTTGGATGCTGTCTGACCAGCCCGGCCTCGACCTCGACCTCACAGAGATCCGCCTGCCTCTGCCTCCCGAGTGCTGGGATCAGAGGCGTGCGCCACCACCGCCCGGTGGCCCAGAACTCTTCAGGATAGGGTGAGGGTCTGGATATGACCGTCTCCCATATTGGAGGCTGCAGACCCACCTGGGTGATACTGACCAGAACAGCTGAGGCACATCTGGGAGCTGCTGTCCCACCAGCTGAGTCCCGAGGGTTGGGCACAGCATTCTTCCAGGCTTCCCGCCGAAGAATTAGTTGAGCCTGCTAGAGGTTGGCACTGCCGTGTGACAAAGCAGCGGCCTTTGGGGCTGGCTTGGGCGAGGGCTGTGGTGGAAGAGAATGGGGCACACCCAACCTGTCATCATCTGGACGGTCTGGAGAGCCCAACTGGACCTGCTGTGTCCTGGGGCAGTCTGTAGCCTCTGCTACACCACAGATGAGCTTCCCTTTCATGCCCATTACCCCAGAAGGTGCCCATCCTTCTTGGGTACTTACCATCTGTACAGCGAGGACCCCCCCATCCTGGACAGCAAGCCCTCACCGTCCGGTTCCAAGCAGCAGGCCGGGTTTCTGGGGGTCTGCTCGCACCATACAAGGGGAAGCAGGAAGAGACGTTACTATTAAGCCAAGTCCCACCACAAGGCAAGACCTAGGACCTTAGGTCTGGTCAACTATTCCGAGGGGTCATGTTAAGTAACTCTCCCCTCCTGGCCTTAACTTCTTCAAACGAAAAGTTAAGAATGAATGCTGGGAAGCATCCCGGGGCAGAAGGAACAAGTGGCATACCTCTCCTTGCCATACAGTGCCCGTCGCGGTCCTGTTACCCACCCGCACCATCTCTCTCCACCCTCCCTAGAACCCAGCTGTAACCTGTTTCCCAAACGCCTGCTGCACCAGTCCCTCCCGGGGTCCTCCCCCACTCTCAGGATATCCAGCCATCACTTTTTCCTTTCCCCACCAGCAGACAGCCCAGGTTCTGACCCTCACTCACTTGTAGATAGCACAGAGTCCAAGCCCTGGGGGCCTAGTGGGCCCTACAGGGCCACCCCAGGGCAGGTCCAGCTGCCAGCCTAGACGGATATAACGGTACAAACTGGTGCAGGGTACCAGGTCCTCCCGACGAGGAGTTACTTCCTCTTCTACGTGGATGGTCTCCGTGTGCTCACACCACCGCCTGTCCAGGGGTAGGGGAGCACAAGTACCAGCATTGTCCCCTCTGACACCAAGAAGTTCTGTACTATGAATCCAAGCTATCCCCACCCCCACTCCACCCCCAAGGGCTGCTGGGAGAGGTACTTGAAGCAAGGAGGAGGTTAAGGGTGGGTTGAAGTGCTGAAAGAAGAGTCTTGCATCCCAGAGGGTGTGTCTAGGCATAGGCAGGAAGAAGAATCTTACTGGGAGAGCCCCCATGAACTACTTACCCATTAGTCAGAGCCCATAGCATCCCGAAGAGAAGGGCGGGGAGCAGCATGGCGTCCCACCCACCCCAGGTCACCTTTGGGAGGACCTGAGGCTTGGACTTGGGCAGTGCTGCTGTAGGAGACCCGACAGGACAACACTGGTCCCCTGCCCCGCACTGAGGTTTGATGCAACCCAGAGGCCAGTCTGTTCAGGGCTCTTCGCAAGGGGGAAATTTTATTCCAGCTTCCTGCCTTTGGGTACCAGCTGCCCAGAACCAGATTGGACCTGCCTACAGCATCCCTTCAGAGGCCAACTCTCCCTGGAAACAGGTCCCATCACACCCCTCCCAGTGTGTGTGTGTGTGTGTGTGTGTGTGTGTGTGTGTGTGATGGGATTACAGCTAGACATTTTGAGCCACCCCTGGTTTTCTACACTTTCAAGCATTACTAAATTAATGTATGAATGTGGTCAAGGCATGTTCCTCTTCTGGGCATCTGCTTCTTTACCAGTGAAAACTTCAGGGACTTCCCAGGGGGCAGAGATGGGACTCTTTGAACTTACACAGGTGTGAAGAGTTTTCTGAGGGAAGGCCTTCCCAACCTTCAAACACCGCAGGCAGGGCTGGAGCGATAGCTCAGGGGCTTAGAGCACCTGCTACTCTTGTAGAGGACCCAGGTTTGGATCCCGGGACCAGCACAGCAGCTCAATCACAACCATGCACAGCTCTAGCTGTTCCAAGGGATTCAAAGCCTCTCCCAACCTCAGCAGCAGCAGGCACACATGTCACAAACAGACATATATGGAGGCAAAGAATGCATAAAATAAAACCACTGCCTTTATTATTGGTGTTCCTTTCCCTGTTCCTTCTCGGGCCAGGTACGCAGGAAGAGAGAGAGCGGAATGCTGGAGCACCAAGTGTGTGGAGACAACCTGACAAAGTAAACCAACCCTCTCCTCACGGGGCGGGGGGGAGTCAGGGTTTTTTTGGGGGGGTTATCTGTACAAGGTGGTTGGGGCCATTTGGTCACCTGTGGTGTTTCCAAGGGTCCCAAGACTTCATCCAGAACACTGAAAAGATCTAGAAAGATGGGAAGGGGAGAGGGGTGGTACAGGACCAGGCTCCTGCTCCCCATGCCCCAGGTTGGAGCTGAACCGAGCCGGATGGGATAAACCCAGTGTCCGGTTCAGAGGAGGCAGCTGCAGGCTCCACAGGCCAATCCTGGTTACATCCTGGTTACCAGTAGACCTCCAAGGCCACTGGGACTGGAATGCAGCTGGACCTGAAACTCTGAACCCTGAAATGAGGTCCCACTGGGCACCCTGCATGGTCAGTCCACCTGGTACATCACAGCTGGCCTGGATATTCCTTCTTCTGAGCCTACTATTGGGCCTGGAGCCCAAAAAAAGGGGCCCAGTACAGTCCTTCTAGTTGCTTCCAGATAACTAGTGTTGGTGCCTGAGAGTGGATTTCAGCTCTCAAAGCCCATTCTTGCACAGGCAGAGGCACACACACTCTGCTCCTAAGCCACTTTCAGTCAGTGAGCATCCAGGTATTAGAAAAGCTTTTTCGTCTTGAGTTGATAGGACCTCCTGATCCTTCCCATCTCCATTGATTGGTCCAGACCTCACTCTAACCATCCGTAAAAGTTGAGGACACCCCTGTTGCATCCTGTTAAGGCCTGCCTTGGGTTGCTGTGTCCTGATTCTACAGGTGTCACCAATCCTCCATAGCCAGGGACCTTGTCCTGTCCACGAGGACCGTTCATTGGCCTCCTCTTCTCAGACTCTCTCCCAGCTCTCTGTTCTGCAACTTGACTGACAAGGGAAGCTTGGACCGGGGAGAAATATAACTTTGCATCTGCCCTTTTCCCTACGGGGGCAGGCAGACGGGAAGTGGGAGCCCATGGGAGTTTGCAGAAAGATCAGGGGCATGGACTAGCCTCCTGAATTTTTGTTTCAGGATGGAAGAGGGGAGGGGATCTCAGGAGCAGAGGTGGGTGAGTAAGGCCTAGGAGTACATGCACTCATGAGCAAAGACAGACTGTGAGAGAGGTCTGGGGAGAGAAGTCCAAACCTAAGGCCAGGATTTCTTTCCCACGGACCCCTCCCGAGCCTCCGCCCAGCCTCACTCCCCGCAACCTCCATGCCTGCCCAACCCTCTCTGCCCCGGACTTGGTTCAACTTCTCCCGTATTTTCCATTTTGTGATCCCTTGCTCTCCCAGCCTGGTCCCTAGTCCTCAGCCCCTGCAGCGGGATGCCATCCTCCGGTCTGGGTAGATCCTGGTGGAGAGTTTCCCTAACCGTTTCTCCCAATCTCCGCTGGCCAGACGGTCTCCCGGGGGACCGCGGCGAAACCACAGACTCGGCTGGCACTGCCGATTTTGAAGACAGCAGTGCACACACTACTCTCCTCCCCAAACACGCCCCCTCCTCTCCCTGCTCCCCCCAACTCTTCACCACCACCGCTCCGTTCCGCGCTCCACCTTTCCCCAGCTCCTCCCTCCAAGGCTGAGAGCACCCTCCCTCCCAGCCCGAGTGCCCTTCCTCTCTAGCCTCCTGTTCTCCTCTCCCCTCTTTCCCTTCGCCGGTCCTAAGCTCCCACTTTCCGTCTCACCCCTCTAGGCATCTTGCCTTCAGACCGTCACCTGCACTCGAGCCTATTGGTGGTGCACCTTCCGCGACCGGTCTCTTGAAAAACCCTGGCCCCTACCTACCTACCTCCCGAGTCTGGTGCCCCCGGGGCAGAGCGCTCCTGCTTCCCGGGTTCCTTCCCCCATCACCCGCGACGCTGCCCCACACCCTCTCCCTCCAAGTCTTTCCTTCCCCTCCCCGCGAAGTTTCAGGGCTGTCAGTCCCGGAGTCTTTCGGGCAGCCCGCACCCAAGCTGCAGGCAGCGGGCGCCATTGTGCGCACTCGGCCCGCCTGGGACCGGAGGCCCCGAGCGCCTGGGTCCCCGACGCGGGCCGCGGCACCTAGGCGCAGGAGCCCGCCAGGTAAGGACGTCGGAGGCTCCCGGGCAGGCGTCTCCCGCCCGCCCGCCACCCAAAAGGAGCTCGGCGGACGCTTGCAGGCTCGCGGCAGGTGACAGCCCCGAGGGAAGGGGCGCGCGGGCGGGAGTGTGGGGGGAGGGGAGGGGCGGGAGTCAGCAGGAGGGAAGGGAAGGGGGAGAGGAGGGAGGGTCCGGGAGCCGAGGGAGAGCCTGGAGGGGAGGGCAAGGAGTTGGGGGGGGAGAGGCCCGGTGGGAGCAGGTGGGAAGGGGGAGGGAGGGAGAGGGAGGGGCCTGCCTGGAGGATCCCGAGGAAGGAGTAGGGTTCCTCGGCTCCGGGGTGGAGGGAAGGAGGGGATCCGGCGCGCAGGGGCAGGAAACGGGCGCACGGGGATGGGGGCCCGCTCTGGAGCGAAGGACGCTGACAGGTGAGCCTAGAGCAGGAGCAGGGGACCGGGACCCCGAGGTCTAACGGGAGCGGGGATGGGGAAATGGGGGTGTGTGGTCAGGAGAAAGAACTCCGGAGAGGGTGAGAAGTCAGTGGGGGAGCAGAAACGGGCCACCGGGGCCACCGAGAGGGGGGTGTGTTAGGAAGGAAGGGGGGATGGGGAAGGGGCAGGGCTGGGGAAAGGAGGTCCTGAGGGCGAGAGATTAGATCTGATTCCCCCCTGGGGTGTGTGGGGGGGGCGTGAGACCTGGAAGCTAGGGAGCAGACTGGGAGGGGGAGGGGAAGGAACAAGGCTGGGGACGGGGAGGGGAGGGGAGAGGACGGGGAGGGGAGGGAAGCGGAGCCCGAGCTTGCAGGGTAGGCAGAGGGGGGAGGGAAGGGAGGCGGGGGCCGCTGGAGAAGGGGGGGGAAGGAGAGCCGCGGGAGGGAGGGAGGGAAGCCGAGGGGAGGATGGTGTGGGGGAGGGGGGTAGGGAACCGAGGCGAGGAAAAGAAGGAAAAGAAACCCGAGTGGGGGAGGAGAGGGGAGGGGAGGGGCAAGCGGGTGGGGGAGAGCAGCTGAGACGGGGAGGAAGGAAAAGAGGAGGGGGGGAAGGAAGGGAGAGAGTGTGCGGCCCGGGAAGGGGGCGGCGCGCGGAGAACTAGGCGGGCCGGGCACAGGAGGGAGGGGGAGGGGAGCGCTTGCCCGAGACTGCTGGGAGGGAGGGAGGGAGGGAGGGAGTGGAGGGGTCAGGGAAGGCGGTAGCTGCTGAGGGCCGATTCCGAGGGGGGCCCCAAGGGGTTGACCCGGCGGGTGCACGCCAGGGAGGAACCAAAGGGGCGGGGCAGTAGGAGGAGCCCCAAAAGGCAGCCAGATTTGGTGGGGAGAGAGGGCGGAAGACTGAGGGAGAGGGGAGGGGCAGAGGGAAGGCTGCCAGGGAAGGGGGGGAGGGGAGTCTACCGAAGGAGGGGCAGAGAACCGGTTGGAGGAGGAGCAGGGAAGTGCAAAAATCGGGGAGTGTCCTGACCTATTGTGGGGGTGCCCTAGCCTAGTTCGTTCTATGGGGGGTTGTGTGGCTTTGGGGTAGGGATTTTAGGGAGGGGAAGTTAGAAGAGTCATTTACTACCTCTGCAAGGACTCTCTGTTCAACAACCCCCTCCCCCTCAATTCCTAAAGTGACACTACTCTCCAAGGCTGGCTTCTGTTTGACTAGCTTCTGCTGTGATGGCTGGAGGTTCCACGTGAAATTTCCCGCTAGCCACCTTGGTCTCCCTTGCTCTCAAGTGGTCCCTGTACTTCCCCAGGCAAAAGACACAGTGGGTTGTAAGTGCCTGCTTAGGGCCTTGGGGATAGTTCTAGAGACTTGGCGGGCAGGGACAGGGACTGATGTGTGTAGCTAACCAGAGTTTGCAGAAAGCTCCACGTCCGTGTCATTGTCGTTGGGAACCCACCTTCAGAAGGCTCTGCTCCAAACGCAGTTTCCCCTGAGTTCCCTCACCTTTGCTTGGGATGTCACTTTGGTGCTCTTGAGACAGCTGAGACCTAGGTGGAGGCTGACAGGAAGAGTCTGAACAGGGCTGTCTTTTTAGGGTCTGTGGCCTGATCACCTAGGAGAGCCACTCCTGGTGGACATGAGAGAGACCCTGGAGGCCCTGAACTCCTTGGGTGAGTTGGGGACAAAGGAACCAGGAGGGTGGGAGTTATTAGGCATACATGGTATAGCAGTGCCATCAGGGAATTTACAACCCTGAACCTTTGGGGGTCTGGAGAGATAGACATCTTTGTAGCTAACCATCATGGCTATACTAGCCTGTCTGTATGCATGGGATTCAGAGAATGGAAGCTAGAAACAGCAAAAAAACCTACTACATTTACATATTTACATACTTATTTATTTTGTCTGTCTTTATTACATACACATGTATGGAGGTGATGACAGTTTTCTGAGTCTTATCTCCTGCCATGTGAGCTTTGGAAAGCAAATGCAGATCAATAGGTTCGGTGGCAATTACCTATACCCACTGAGCCATCTCCCCAGCCCAGCACTGAGATTTAAATTTTTTTCTAGTTCAAAACATACAATTTCTTTCTTCCTCTCCTCCCCCCAATTAAACTGGGAAAAAAGAAACTGAGGTTAACAACTGGCCAGGCTGTTGGGGAGCTTGGGCAGTCCTTTGTCCATGCAGATGGGAGAGATCCCCCTTCCCAAGCCAGCTGGGGAAGTGCCCCATCTCTGATACCACTTCAATGCTGGAAGTTTCATTTGACCTCATCCCTCTGCCTCTAACAGGATTCTCAGTGGGACAGCCCGAGATGGCTCCCCAAAGTGAGCCCAGGGATGGGTTCAATAACGCCCAGGGCAAGATACCATCTAGGGAAGAGAGCACACTGCACTCATGCTCAGGTAAGTGGGGACAATGGAGGTCTCGGGAAAGAATATCCCTTCTTCCACAGGCCATCTATTAGGCACCTACTCTGTGCTGGATGCTATTCGGAACATTTGGGACCCCTTAGGCACTGAACAGACCTGGGTCCCTCCCTTCAAGAGCTTAATCTCAGAGGGGGTAGCAGTCAGCCAGCAAGAAATGTAGACATGGTTAAAGTTGTAAACCACCTTAGAAAATGGAAAGTGAACCGGGCGGTGGTGGCGCACGCCTTTGATCACAGCACTCGGGAGGCAGAGGCAGGCGGATCTCTGTGAGTTCGAGGCCAGGCTGGACCGACAGCCTCCAAAACAATACAGAGAAACCCTGTCTCGTAAAAACCAAAAAAAAAAAAAAGAAAGAAAGAAAGCAAAAGAAAATGGAAAGTGCTGTAAGAGGGATAAAGCAAAATGAGGCGGACCTAGATGGCTGCCTCGTAGGATGAGGCAGGAATGCCTAAGGCAAATCTAACTTTATTTCTCACTATTCTCCTCTCCTTTCTCCTGGGAACTGGGAGGCCTAACTGCCCGGTCTTTTTCTTACTTCCACCTCCTCATAAAACACACACTCCAGAAAACCCTCACAGTTGTGGCTCTTGTCCACCCTTAGCCCCTGCTTTGGCCACTGGGAATTTGCCTCTGCGGGTGTGACATAGGATAGAGTTCTTTGGATGATGAGGGGCGGGGGCTCAGGCTTGCTTCCTAGTACCAGTGGGGACTGTCTTCCTTCTGTGATGTTTCGGGAGTCCTTGGGGGACATCTTCTTCTCTTCCAGGGCACGAGACCCCTTGCCAGAAAGAAGGCATGCACACAGAACAAGCTGAAGCTCCTTGCACGGGCAGCCAGGCCTGTACCCCACAAAAGGCGGAGCCTGCGGGCTCTGTCCCAGGTGAGGCTTCCTGATGCTGTAGAATCAGGCAAAGGGAACAGGGACCAGGCAGGTTCCAGGGCTTCTCTCTGAGGAGATGGCAGGTGCTCCAGGCCCTGTCCCCTCTCCTCTGTAGACCTTCAGAGCTCCAAAAGGAGTTTCACATCTGTGGACAGTAGGATGGGAGCAGAGGGCACCAAAGGGAAGTACATCTCATTTTAACTCACTTCTAGAAGTCCCAGCTTCCCTCGCATCTCCCCCCAGTTCATACATGCTGTTGCTCTCTTGGATTACAATCGCCACAAAGACGCAGGGCACTTATGAGCTTGTTTGCTGCCTCTGCTACGCGTGCTCCTTTTCCCAGACCCCTGCTGATCTTCATGGTACCAAGGGTCCCCAGTCTGTAGTCATTAGCTCTCCTCTCCCATCCCTCAAGCAATCACTTCATGGCCCTACCCATCACTTCTTAACAGTCATCGCTGCTTGCTTGAACGGCATCGCTTACCCAACAAGGATTTATCATTTAGTGCCTGCTGCACAAAGTTGTTGGGTGTAGCGGGAAAAGACAGGGAGTCTAGCTGCATAGACCTGGTTTGCACCCTCGTTGTGCATTGACCTGCCGAATGCTCTTGGGTAGGGTGTGTGTGTGTGTGTGTGTGTGTGTGTGTGTGTGTGTGTTGGGGAGGTGCTGTGTTCCCTTCAGGGGTGGTTTGTTCACCTATCACCAGGGTGA